CAATTGGATATGATAACTGTTTGTGTATTTGTACTTGGATCAAATTATAAATAACTTGTTTAACCTTTTGTGATATACTAACTATTGTTTATAGATTTACTATTTTAGAATGTATTTTAGCTATACAACTATTAATCAAAATTTGCTTGAAATTCATATATCAAAATTTTACCAAAAATCATAGATTTGTGAAACCCACCTTGATTTTTTTATGCGCAAATCGACCGGCCCGGCCTAAAAAAAAATTTTCAAATTGCCCCCCCCCCGTTATATATATTTTTTTGGCCCGGTCCTTGTAGATCTCTAAGTTATATGCAATTAAAATATTTTAAAGATACTTTAATGTAAAATATATTAAGAAGAAAGAAAGGTTTTAAGGTTATAAACACTTCTATTTGCTAATTTAAATAGCTGGCACCGTTAAATAGCAATGTACAAAAATATTTTGGAATATTTATCATTCAAAACTGATTATTGGCATCTTTAAAAGATATCTAAAGGTTCAACCCGGTTACATACATTTTTACGCTCTATTTAGTTGGTGACAAGATTTTTTACAATTCAGGTTCGGTTTAGATTCTGTAGATAATAACTGATTAACGGATCAAGTTTGGGGCTTGACTGGGATTCTGGATAAAATATAGATGTTAATAATTAAATCTTTTGTATTCAATAAATTATACTCTAGGCCAATGTTTAACTAAGCAACATTTTTACAAATGTAACTAGTTATTAGTTACAGTTATATTTCGGAAGTAACTAGTTGTAACTATATTAGTTACAATTATATTTCGGAAGTAACTAGTCATATAATAAGTTACTTTGTACATCACGCATTATTTATTTACTGAACGCATTTATTTAATATAAAAAAATTAGGATATAATAATTATAATCAATTATTTGAAAAAATATTTAATTTATTTATATAAAAAAATAATTAAACCGAAAAAAAATATCGGAAAATAAAAAATATTTATTAGAGACCTTCAGGCCCGACCCTAAGCCCGGTCCGGGTACACATGCCGCGACTTATTTTAATTTTTTTTTAAATATACTCAGGCCGGGTCTGAATTATTTTTTTAAAATATATACGGGCCAGGCCGTTATATTTTAAAACCAAATATTTGAAATCGCCATTATTAGCTATAAAAATCAAAAATAAATATAATATATTTTTAAAAAATTCGGGTGGGGTCTAAAAATTTTTCTTATTAGTAAGTAATGATTACTAATTTACTAGTTTATTCATTATTTAATTCTAAAATAATCTAAGTCTTTGTAGTTCCTTATACTAAGTTCTATAATCTAATTTAGTAAAATTTAAAAAAAAACATTTAATACTTATGAAATTCCATAAATATTACCAAACTTGAGGACAAAAAATATGGAATATATTGTGCTAAATAGGTTAAGAAATATAATATTAAAAAATAGGTTTATTAATTAAATTTGGTTAAAAAATTATGAAAACCCAGCAATGTAACAATTTAAGAAAAAAAAATCTATTTGGACGTTATTATTGTTGCATATCCTTTGTGAACACAATCAGACATTTAAACAAAATTTTAAATTAATAAATTTTAAAAAAAAATTATTTTAAAATTAATTTATCATACCTTTGAATCGGACTACCCACCTGAAAATTTTATTGTAGTGGACAAAACTAGCTTTACCCACCTAGGTTCACCCATGGAGGTGAAAGTGCTATATTGAAAAATATTTTAAAACATTTACCTGTTCATCAGGTCTTTTATTTATTTAAATCATTTTTTATTCATTCCTAAAATTTTACATGTGAGCCCTTCCACAAAAGATAGGTGGTATAGGTATCGATTCCCCCATATCCTTAAGCATTTCTACCATTTTTCAGTTGCTAAATTTCCATACACACTTGGAGACTTGGATTCGAATCCACATCATATGGCAGCATTAAACCTCTGGAGCAAAGATTCTCCAAGCCGCTCATATCCAAATTTAAGACAAATAGACACTGGAATTTACCATTGATACAGCATTGCGTTGAATACTTACACTTCAAAGCTGTTCAAAGAAAATCTCCATCGCTCTTTCTCCTCTTAAATCCAATCCCGAGTATACAGAATGACAACAATACGACTCTTTTGCTGGATCAAATAATTCCAGCCTCAGCCATATGCCACCTTGGTTACGAATGGTTAGAAACTATACCTAGTTCTAATTTAGGCTTGTTTATTAACCAACGAAGAACTTAGAATAGCTATAAGTCTTCGTTTTGTGAAATCGTAACGCCGATATCATGTGTCCCTTGTGAAACTCATATCGATAGCCTTAGACACCCCCTCCCTCCCCATACTGTCATTTTTCTAAAGACAAATTATCCAAGCACTATGCCATCAATTCGATATCAATAGAATCTTGAAATCCGCAAATATTCCTTCTACACTGGAACCCTCTGACTTCAACCCTAATGGAATGATGCTAGTCCCTTGGAACCAATGTGTACCCCTCGCTTGGGATTATAAGATCTTTTTCTTTCAACTCTATCACGAAAGCTGAAAATACAAAAACAAATAAATATAACCACGTTATTAATCTTAGACCCCAAGTCCTAAAATTATTAAAAACAATAGGGCAAAGGTTACGTTTAATCACAGGTGATTATCCTTTCGCATTGCGTGTCATAGCGCTTCTTTATTTTAAAATTTTTTTATTAAAAATGTTAATTCTAAGTAGGCTAATACGTACCCTGCTAAAACTTGCCCCAGGTTTTCACAATTAATTAAATTACCATAAATATTGTCAGTATTTTTATACATGTTAAAAATGAGTTTATTTTATCATTTAGAATTGATATTTAATAGTAACATTTATAAAAAAAATTTAGTTACCGTGTTAAAATTTAAATTTGCACGAGCAATTTTCTGTGGAACATTTTTAGACCAACTTAAGCTCCTTATTAAAATACATTGGCTTAAATTTCAAATCCCAATGTTTATTAGTTTTTAAATTTTTTGAGTAGAAATTGCCTGCCTCGCGATAACACTATCTCTAGTCTCCCCTACTCATTCTAGAGATCTGCTAAATCCATTTTTTCGGCCCGAGCCCGCCCGCTTTCCGGTGGCAGATTTTTTAAATCTAGGCTTGGCCCGGTAACCAGAATTAAATATAGTATAATAACTTTAATTCAATAAGGTTTCTCTATTTTTTATTCTATTTATTACAAAAAATATATATGAAAATAAATAGTAAATATTTCCTACTTTTTTAAAAACTCATTTATAATTGTGATATTCAATCAGACAAAAAAAAAGGAATAATAAGGAGAAAATATAAAATTAATATTTTTCGGGTCACGGGCCCTAACCTTTATTTCATTGATGAAGTTTTACAGTCGGCCAGGCTGATGGGACAGTCCTGCAAGACTCTAATTCATTTATTCATCGTGTAGCATCCTTTCATATTTAAAGATGGATCTTAAATTGTCGGATAGAGTTATCAATATTAACAATTTAAGTTTTTTTTAGCCCATGCATTTATTAAAGGAGTTATGTAATTCGCTCGCTATTGAAGGAATAATTTATTGATAAATGGCCTCTTTTTTAAAAAAAATGATTAGTGTATTATTCCAATTTTAAATTATTATTTTAACACCAAATTGGTTAAAAATCGGAGATATTTTTTTTATTATTATTTGTTTTAATTTTTGAAAATAATATTATCGATCTTTTGCGACTAAAGAAAATTAATATTTGGTCGTTTCAAATCACACTTGTTTAATAAGAAAATTTTGTCCAAATATTTCTTATAAAGGAAAAATAACTTAGAGTTTCAATTTTGAAATAAGAAATTAAGATTTTGAAATCTTTTAATTTTTTTAGCTATAATATTTTGAATATTTGTTGAGAGCGGGTACTTTAGGTCTGGGGTAGATTTTGTAATCATATTGTAAACATTTTATCCACAAATTCCATTAATTATTTTGGGAATGAGTTAAAATTCTGTGGACAACAATGACTATCATTATTAAATGAATAACTTATGCATGCGCAAATTATAATTTAAATATAAAATGGAAAATTTTGAGAATTATATTCGATAAGTAATGATATTTTTTGATTCATCGTTTCATCTAGTTTATGATAATTATCAATAATCAAAGCATTCAAAAGAAGGTATAAAATATGAAAAAGGAAAACGATTATCCTATTCGGAAAAAATGAATACTGAAAAGTTGGGGTGACGTATCTTTAGAAATTATTGATTGGCGGATTTCTTGATTAAATTATATAAAAGGAATCTATTAAGGGTGTTCACGCATTTTAGTATTATTTTTTAAAGGATTATAACAAAGTTTAATAAATTTGTTGGCTTGATGCCAAAATTATTTAGTTTAAGCAATCTTAGAGCTTTATAAAGAGATGTTATTAGAGATAAATATTCGAAATTAAAGGCTGATTGAAGTTATAAAAAATTCTAAAATTTATTTGCTTTCCTTGGGGTTTATCGTATTCCACACCTTTTTATAGAATGTCATAAAATTCAATAGTTTCAAAATTTTATCAAATTGTCGCGTGATCAAATCAACCATAATCAAATGAATTTAAAAATAAATCTTTTTTTTTCTCGAAGTACGTACACATACTATTCTCTTTTTTTATGGCTAGATTAATTAGGAGGTATATTAAATAAAAATTTGGTGATTTGATAACCGTTAAAAAAATAATTATCAAATTTATAGTTTTTTTTGGTTTTATATAATAAAAAATTTGGCTAATAAAACTTTTGAAAAATAATATGAAGGTGTTGAATTTTGAAGGAAGTTGGGAGAGGGGGCGGGATAAACGATTTGGTAAATTATTTACGTTAATTCTTAACTTCATCAAATTTTTGCGTGGTCTTCTCTAAGAAATATTATTTGGTGGGTTATGTATAACTCCACACTTTACTATCAATCAGTATATTTTTATATATATAATTGTAACTTATAAAATAAAATATTTTTTTTAAAAAAATAACAGGTCTGCAGTCGGAATTGTATTACGTTAGGAATGGTATAATTAATACCTACGCCACCCAATTCAGGGTCTTGATACCGGCTAGTATGACAAAAATAAAATTCACTTGGAAAAATTTGGGCGATTCTATATACGCGGTATATTTAAATATTTATACTCATCTTAAAAAAAATATCATATTTGCGTTCATTGGAGATGAGGGGCCAGTATGTCACTTCTAAATATAATTTGAGTGCGCATGAATGACAACAGATGGTCATGCGTTGTCGATGTATTATAGATAAATTTGTTACTTTTATGTTTTTATAACTCTTCCTATGATTATTAAATAACAGAAAAGAGCTATTATAAGAATGATTTTATTTAGGCATGTTATTCTCAGAGTAAATTTAGACATGCTGGGAACGTTTTTGCCCCTTCCTAGTGGCGACACTATTGAACATTATTTGCAAACTTTTAAACAACCAATCGCTATTTTTTTGGCGGAAAATATTATATTATAAATATAGAGATATATAAATATGTACCAATTTTTAAATTTTAAATCAGCCCAAATCATTCTTTCTCCCATTTTTAAAATAGAAATATTGGCCGATGATATAATATAAGAATGGTGGATAATTTTTTTTTTGAATTTATTTATGATATATGATACAATATTTGAAAAAACTTGATTATGGCAATGATTTTATTGATATTTAAAAAAAATATATTGGATTAATTTTAAAATTCATAAATCAAAAGGTGCCTTATTCGATCTCTTTCTCCGAAATCAAGCCGCACATATTATTGTATGCTCCCAAATTAAATATATCTCCTTCCGGTTACGTTCCGATCATAAAACAAAGTATAATAATTCAATATTTTCTTAGAATACAAAAGTTTAATACTAAGGGGGAACACTGACACTCTAAAGTTTGGTTATCATTATTAGTACCTTAAGAATCCTGTTGCATCGGACTTGTTTTTTTTGGCGGTTCTCCTCCAAAAAAATAGATTTTTCTATCGAGTCTATCCTTATTGGAAAAATTTATGACTTATATTAATATAGACTGCTCAACGATTAAAGAAAACGTCTTTAAAAGAATCGCCATTTGCAATACCATTTATTTCAATAAGTCTGTGTTTATAATGATTTTAAGGTTAAATATTGTTGTAATTATTAATAAATATTTATATATTAATTAATATTACAATAAATAAATTTATATGTATTTAAAATTTTCAATACATAAACATGTCTTTGGCCATGTATTTTAACTTTATGAAAAGAAATAAATTCAGTGGACAAAGAAAGAAAATTTATAAAATATTGAAATATATTCAGAATTACAAAATTATAACGATTACGAAGAAATATTCTAATAAAATTTTTGTCAGAATTACTAAGTAATGAATTAAGGTAAAAATAAATAATAATAAGGTTAAATATTAGTTAATATTTTACTTTTAAATTCTAAGACTTTTTATTAATGAGGTATTTGTAGAATTTTCTTTTTACGTATTTCATATATTTATGAAATTTTTTTATATTTTATTTAAATCGCATATAAATTGCAAGATATAAATTTTTTTAGATAGATAAAGGTAAATAACTCACTGAAGCTCTGGGAAATTTTCAATATTGTTTTTTTTAAATATTTTATTTATTAAAAAATAATAAATATGCGATCGCACAAATCTTAATTTAATATTTTTTCAAGTTATAATCTTAATGAAAAGGGATATGATCATTACTCTGTCAATCACTGCAGAAACTTTATAGACCCAAATGATATATCGATCCATACCCAACGTATTGAGCGTTTATGGAGTGATCTTAAGGCGAGCATCCCCAGAACTGGAAGAAAATCTTTCTCTTATTATATATGTGAATATTCTTATTATCGTAATATTAAAAATATGTCAAATTTAAGTAAATTAATTAAATTTTTAAATGATATAAATTTATATAGAATATTTATGTTTTTCCATAAAATAATATATATATATATATATTATCGGTTTATATATTATGTTTATTCAAATAAATTGCTTAATTATCTAGTATTTGATTTAATAGTCCTAACACTTAGTATCATCCAATATAGCACACGCCCTTTCAAAATTTTTAAATAATATACTCTATTTTTAATGTAATATTAAAGAATTGTGAAAATTTTCACAAAAAAATTATAGTCCTGAAAAATTAAATATAACTCTATATAATTTATGAAATTATAAAAGTTTATAAGAAAAACAGGAAAATATATTTTATATAATGACAAAAATAATTATTTGCATAAAAATATTATATTTAAACTTATTTATTTTTAAATTTTATCTTTCTTTTCTCGCAAAATGATGAAATAAAATATTTTTATATATCTACGAAAAAAAATGATAAGCATTTTGATACAAAGCCACATTCTATTCTATATAATAGGGATCAGGAATAAAAATGATAGAAAAAAAGTCAAAGATATTTAACATTATGTCTGTATCAGCGATATACAACTATTACAAAACAACGATAAATACAGTGGGCATGAATGGCTCGAAGCACTTCCAAGCCAAACCTTAGATAATCTCTTAACCAATGACCAACTGAGAGTTACGATAGGCTTTAGCCTAGGATGCTCGCTTACACATTCACACTCTTGCCACCAATGCAGCCTACCCGTTCAACCTAACGCCAGACACGGGCTAAACTGCACCCGCAGCCAAGGACGCCATCTCCGGCATAAAGCAATTAATAAAATCATACATAACGCTTTTAATAAAGCTAAAATACCCAACATCCTTGAACCTACCAACCTCTCATTACAAGACGGCCTTAGACCCGACGGGTTAACCTGTACCCTCTGGTTCAATGGGAAATCCCTTATTTGGGATGCAACCTGCGTATCATCTTTTCCTTCATCAATTAACACAAACCCTCTTACTTGTGGGGAAAATATTCAAAATTAAATAACTTTATATTTCAGTCAATAGTCATTTCAACTAACGGCAATTTTTCACAGTCTACATATATTTTTTTTAAAACTTTATCTCGAAAATTTTTTAGCATAACAAACGAAAACCGCGAATCTTTATTTCTTAAACAAAAACTTCAATTGGAAATTTTTAAACACAATTATACTTGCTTTTAAGGTACATTTTCATTATAAAATTAAGCTCTTTTTAGAGCCTTCGATATTTTTAATATATTTTTTTATTTAGTCATTTTATAAATTTTTACACATTTTAATATAGTTGTTTTAATATTTTAGTGTTTTAGCATTTCTTTTTAAAATTATATCAATATCAATTTTAATAAATATGACTTCACTTTTAAATATTAGTAAAAAATAATTAAAATTATAGAATTATATTTTTACTCATGATATTATATATATTATAATTCAGATTTAACTTAATTTCCATTATATAAATTAAAGGTTTAAGAAAATTTCAGAATATAATTATAACTAAATACAAAACAGGAAGGATACATCCTTATTTTTGCTGAATAAAAAAAAATTTGCACGAATTTTAAATTTATGTAATTTTATATTATAAAATATATATTCATATTCTAAATTAAACCGCTATTTTTATTGTATATACAAATCAATTTTTTTTAAATGCTCCATCTTGCGGAAATTTTTATTACTTTATTTTCTTATTATATATTGTTATTACAAATAAAAATTGTTTAATATATATACTTATTTAATTTTCTACATTTAATATGAATTTTTAAAAAAAAATTAATTAATTTTATATTATATCTTTTTGAAAGATGTTATTTCTTGCTATTTATATGCGATTTAAATATAAAAATATCATAAATATATATATTTGACGTTAAAATCATTATAAACATAGATAAAATGAAGGTTGTTCCTTTGCGAATGGCTGCTCAAATAAGGACGTTTTTATAACATTATAGAATTGGGCATTGAGCAATCTATATTAAGGAAGATAATAGATTGAGGGAAAAAATTTAGAGATGAGACATTTTGTAAATCTGTTTTCTCTCTGCAGCGCTTTAAAAATAAAACCAGGAATGAGCTAACGATTTATTTTTCCAATTTTGGATCATAAATTTTCACTCAAAATTATTCAATTTTAAATATATAAAAAATAGCGTTTTACGTACAATTAAAATGCCTCCCAGACGTAAATGCAGAAATTGATTTAGACATGGTGTTCAACATTTCCATTCAAGGAAATTATAGCGCTTTCACGTTATTGAGGAAGAAGATATGCGTCAAAAGTTAAACAGATAATATTTATTTTATTTCAAATATCAATCCAGAATCCTAGACCTTTACGGGGGTCGGGCACTTTGTGCAAAATATTTTTCTGGCCTAGCCATCTTTGAAGATTTTTTTAAAAATAATTTTAAATAATGTAAATTAATGATTTTTCCTCCACAAAAAAATTATGGCCCGGGCCGAAAAATCTTTTTTTTTAAATTTTCACACTGCTCATCTCCACTTATAAATGCAGTTATAATCCACTTAAAAAATTTTATTTGTAAAATTTTGAATTCCTTTCTATTCTAAGAAAAATAAGCTGTTTTACTATAAATGATATTCCCAATTATGGTATATTAACAGGCCTCTAATCAAGAATGTTCTCTATATGTAGATATTTCTATATAACTTAAGAAATGAATATTATTACATATTATAATATATAATGAATTTCCTCTGAAAGATCACTTTATATAGGTTTTACTTTTAATAAGTAAACCTTATTCACTTTTTTATTTTTTTTAAAGATTTTTCCTTTCTTTCAATTTTTATGTCATTTTTTAAATATTTATATATCAGATCCTACTTTGGGCAGTTTGGACCAGAACGATATAAAATCCATTAAAAGTATTTTTCACATCTTATCTTAGCACCCTGCATAACTCTTAGATCTTTAAATTCGATATTATAAAAAATATAAATATGGGTTGTTTATATTTAAAAGTAATAATAGTATACAGTGGATTAGTTTTGTTAAGCAACTCTATTTTTAGAATAGCTAATCCAATATTTCAGCCAAAAATATTATTACAAACCTTGGAGATTTTGCTCATAAGATGGCAGAAAAATGTGAGCATCTATTAACTAAATCTCTTGGCTTGTGTAATATTATTTTGACTAAAATCTTAATTTAAAATTGATTAGATCTAGCCGTTTTTAACAATACTGCAGTGATGGATTCAATTACTTTATCATTTAGGACGTGCTGGAAAGTTGATTTTTTTATATATTATGACATGCGCTCTAATAAAATTTGGAGACGTCATTGGTCTTTAAACACAATGAATTGTTTATAATAAATAAGTCTAATTTTAAATATTAAATACATATTTTGAGAAAAAAACCCCAGAATTCATTTCATTCATATAGGTTTGTTTCATTCAAATTTGTATTTATTTATTTTTTTTAAAGAAAAAATAGAAATCTTAAATCTTGATTCCAGTAATTCTGATCGCATCTCTTACTCGGAAACCTTGCCACGTGACTGGAACTATCAGGGAATTAAAATTCCTGTTGGTAATGAGAATGAGAATATGCCTTTATCTCATTATCAAGATTTTAGACCAGATTTATTTTCAAATGGAGAGGCCAGAAGTGTGGAAGGAGCAAGTAGAGAAAGTAATCTTCGTTTTTAAAAATCAATACTGTCTAGTTTTGAACATAGTTGTTTTTTAACAAAAGTTTGAGCCACTCTAATCTGATGAGCTTTTTAATATAATCATATTTTATATGTTTTTAAGCCATGGAATGTTCAAATTTCAATATATTTATTTATTTTGTAAATTAGAGAGATAGGGTTGAGTTTATCCACTAATTTCAAGTGCAATTGGTCAATTGTTAAGAGCAGAGTTTTTTAAACAAAATTATTTGATCTCTTGGTTATATTTTGATACTTATTGTTAAGGATGAATTCTTCTGTTTTTTCTCATATTCAATTCAGTATTATGCTAGACTAAATCAAACTTATTATATGTTCCCATAAAAAAATATTTTAGTATACAACAGTCAAGGATCAACTTCCGATCCCAAAAAACCAAAACAGGTCCTTAAAAGTTCAAATAATTTTATCCTAGCATTAGTCTGCTCTGCAGTTATAATCGCGGTTGTGGGGGCGCTCATAACCATTTCCCTCGCATATTTCAACAGAAACGCTTCTCGTTTCAACGATTCTAGACATCACCTTAAACCCTCTTCAATCCATTTTACAAACAACAATAACGAAAATTCAGATTTCAATTACCTTAATAAAACTGATAATAAAAACTTTCAAGAAGATAAAACAGTAAATAACAATAAAGTATCTTCTAAGGACATTTCGATGTCCAGGGAACGTTGTTCTGTATTAGGAGATGCTAGCCTCGTGTCGTACAAATGTTTCAGTGATAAAAATGGAAAGTTCGTGAATAGCGATTTAGGTCACGACTCCTCTCTAATACCTCCAAATCAAAACGTTCAAGATATAACTAACCTGAACCATTACTACCTGGGCAAAAGTTTCGACCATAGATCGTACGGTTCGCTTAAACCGGCTACCTTTCCTCCCACCGAAATTCATCAAATTAACTCCTCCGCGGATAAGCCTAACACGGCGGTTATAAGTGATCAAAATTTTTTGACAGACGTCGAAAGGCTGAGAAGGGATCATAATTACAATCATCCTTACAATACGAAGCAAAGACGACAGAATTTATGCGTTAACATTAACGACATAGATAGAAGTTACGTGGCATGTCAAGATTTTGGCGGTGTCATTGGAAAAAGGGTTATTTTTTTGGAAAGATTTAAAAATAATTTAATTTTTTTAGTTTTTACTTCTGACAGCGTTTTTTACCTTTCTAGTTGTTAAGAATTGAAGTTTATTGTAAATTTATTATCAAAGAACATATGGTTATTAAACTGAACAAAATTTAGAAAAATTACATTATAATTAACTAATCTATCTACATCACTTAAAATCAAAATTTTTAATATTAAAGTTTTTCTATTAACGATAATGAGTGAAATGAATAATAATAATATTAGCCTATTGGCTTAATAACTATTTGCGATAATAACATAATTTTGAGGTTTATCAATACCTCAATAGTGATTACCTTTTTTTATAATATAATTAACACCGTCCCCTTCCTAGAGATCTGCACTGCTCATGGTACGAGCCGGGAATTTTTCAGGCTAGGCCGGACAATTTGTGCAAAATAATTTCTGGTCCACCCAGAATTTTTCAAACTTTGCTTCCTTCACAAAATATATTAATACGGACGGGGTCGGAAAACTTTTTAAAAATTTGGAACGAATCGTATATTGATATCTATCCTTCCTTATCTAAATAAATGCATAAAGAATATTCTCAATGGTTATCAATCTAACAATTATGTATTGTCTAACGGCCGTGGGATCAACAAGGGGAACTTAGAAAATAGATTAAATTATAATCAAACTGATCCCAATCTCCCCAGCAATACCATTGATTTTTACAACGTCGCGTGTATCAATAATTTAGACAACGAAGCTAATCTCTACGATTGTATCGTCGAAGATAAAAGTTCATTTTAGTTCTTATAATTTATTAACCAAAGAGAAGTTTTTTTAAATGCAAGTTATTAAATTTATATATATAAACTGTACGCATAATTTCCTTAAGTTACAGTGTGGATACTCTGTACATGTTGGAATTCTTTTCCGGTCTAATAAGATTTTTTAGATTTAAAAATCTCCTCCAATAAGTGATTTAAAATTGAGAGATTCTGACACAATTTTCATATCCCAATACGACATATAAAACACCCGACTCTTGCTTACACTAAATTACTATCAGATAAGACGAGAATTCGATAGATATGATACTTAAACCTTTTACAATAAATAAAAGATAGGGCGAAATACATAATTTATTTGTACGTAACGATCAATATATTTTTGTATACCTCATATTTTATCTCATTTAAATTGAAACTAAATTATCTCATTTTAAAGAATTGTGCAGGCAACTCATTCCAACACCGAGATTAGTATATTGTAATTGAAATTATATTTAAAAAATATATATAATTTTAATCAAAAGGTTTAACTCAAGGATCAACTCAGAGACATCCTTTCTATTATCCATTTGACCACTTGACATTGGGAGATGTTATTGTTGAAGGTATTTAATTTAAAACATTTATATTATAATTTTTTTTTAAATTTTGTTTTGCTATTTTATATAGCAATCATTTAATTACGTAATAATACGTGTTAAAGCGCATTCGCCCTTTAAACGTTGTAGGTACAACAGAGCTACGCTAGGTATTTCTCATTTCCATCCATTTGGATGTTATTAAGAAAAAATTTCTGAGAAAAAATATGAGAAGCCCTTTACACGTTTATGGGCAAGTCTCACGTACTTGTACGCATAATAATAGTCTAAGAACTATTATTTAAACGTCTGAAGGCTGATTGAAAGGGAATGGGGCAAGATTAAACAGCCCACATCTATAACCTACAGCTATATTTTGATAAAATTATAAGGTAAGAGAAAGCCGATTTTAATTTTAAATTACTATATACCTATGTTAAATGAAGAGATTCTGTTGGTTAGAAATACTGAGCAAATAACTACCATGTCGATGTTAGTAGTGTGATCTAGTAAAAAAAGATATATCTATATAAGTAATAATACTTGAGTCTTCCAGAATTAATAATCTATTTTTGGATATATGTTTTTAACTTTACGATTCAAAGTAATTTTGCCGATTTTGGGTTATGTTATTTTCCAAAAAAAAAAAATTCATTTTTTAAAATTTTATGAAAACTATCAAATAATTTTGTTCAAAATAGGTACATTTGGTCAATTGAGAAAGGGTATCTTAAAGCCTAGGGTATCTGAATGTGTCGCGCATAATGGCGTTAGGGAGGAGAAGGTGATAGTCAAATTGATAAAAAGTAATTAATATATATTTTTTTAGAAATCATTAGTGTTGTTAAACGGCTCGTTTTGAGCCGATTTCTAAAGACGGCTAACTCAATATTCCATCCAGAAAAATATTACGCAAACCTGAAGATTTTGCTCATAGAAGGAACAAAGGTCTAGACATATATTGACGAAATCTCGAGGTTTAGGCATAATTTTTCTGGCTAAAATATTGAGTTAGCCGTTGTAAAAAATCGGCTCAAAATGAGCCGTTTAACAACACTAGAAATCATATATGTAATAACCTATTATGGAAAGCCCCTATTTTTTGTTTATTTTATTTGTCCTCGTCCTATCATTTTTTTTAAAAAAAAACAATATCCTTAAATTATTTTTAAAAAAAACAATATCCTTAAATTATTTTTATGCACTTGATACTCTTCATTTCACTAAAAAAATATAAATTAAAGGAAATTGTTCCATTACTCAAGCCCAACATCAACTCATGATCACGGAATCAGCCCCTATCAAACTATCCGATATAGACCACCGCAATGTCATGTCTTTGAAAGGCTTTTCTCGATACGATATGAGAGAAAAAGGTTTGGATGGTAACCCTAATTTTTCGAACGCCGATATACTTATATACCCGTTATCCTCCACTAGTCACGGAAATAATAATAATGTTATCCTCAAATTGTTTCTCAATAAGATCAGGGAAACCGCAGATAATACGCAACGATTTGGAGTGAGAAAATTCATTACATAAATTAGAAGTCAGCGCACCCCTTGGGCCCGGCAAAAAGATTTCTATCCGGGCCACGCCGAATAACTTGTACGGAATTTAAGGCCGGGCCTAAAAAAAATTATACATAAATATATATAACAATACAATAACGTAAGGTAAGATGCAAGTATATGTTTTTCTTGTCGAAGCATGCCAAAATTAAATTTAGATATTGATAAGTATTATTAATTCGCGAAATTTAGGCAACAGACCCGACTCATTTAGAGGAGTTAATCGTAGAACTTTCTCGAATCGGGACGAATAACAAAATTCATTATTCAAGTTAATTCGCTTGATTTAGCTATTTTTTTCCGAATGTGTCTGGTGTTTGGTTTAGTCCGATTAACGCTGTTACTACTCCTTAGCTGCGTTGTTTTGTGACAAATCTTGTTTAAAAGGATAATTAAATTTTCAATTTCAAATAAATATATACTCTCCATTCATTTATTAATCACAATTTAGTTAACGACGAAAAATTTTGTCGATTTATCCATCCAATTATTGCATGGGATTAAAGCTCTGCATTCGTATTCCGTCATTCATAAAGACATAGCTAGTAGGAATTGCTTGTAAACTTCATACCGTTTATTATACATATATATATATATAATAAAATAAATTATAATTGGATAGATTCCATTACTTTAATATTTCAAAAAACAAAATTTATCAGCTTTAATGATAAAGGGTTAAATAAAACGGGATTCTTACTTGTTGTTTTTATTGCTCGTATCACAGATGCTTTAATTAGGTGTAAGCCTATTCTTGATCAATTTTAGTTCAAATTTAAAAGGGAGAAAAAAAAATAGAATAAGAAAAATTGTCAGAAACGCTCTAATTTTTAGACCCTGTCTGTATTCCCCCCTCCCATTTTCAAGCTTTGTTTTTTTTTAACCTACGCCAGATTTTTGATATTTATGTCATTTTATGGTCCGAATTTTATAAGTTTGATTTAAAGGAGAAAATATAGGCAGAAAATGAATATACGATTTTATTTTTAACATGTTAACCCAGAATTTTGTAAAAAATCTCTTTTACCGGGCAGGGTCTGCAGGTCTCTGAAAAGTATAGCTGATAGACATTTTTTTAAAGTATAAAAAGATTGTTTAAATAATATTTGAATTTTTATTTAGATTACTGAGAAATGTGCCCGAAATAATTGATTTTTTTAAAATATAAAAACATAACCTTGGATTGAGCCCGGCCTCCATTCGGGCTTGTATTGCAGATCTTTAAATCTTTATACACCTAATATTCAATCAAAAGCATATCGGAAAACATGATCCTCAAAATAGGGGACACCTCTCTTTCCAGGGACATATTTCCTAACGATTATTCCTGCTTAGGTGATAACGAGAATAGACCAGTCAAATGGATGGCCTTAGAATCATTGCTATTCAATCAATACTCCATTTTTAGTGATATAGTAACACCATAAGCGATAAACAATTATATATAACACTCTCTCCCCCCTATTATAAAGTTTCTGAGGGTCTTAGGAACCATAAATTGTAATTAGTTTATAAGTTAAAAAAAAGGTTTGGAACCAGAACTTGAACCCCCCCCCCCCTTAAAAATTTATATAAATTGAAACCACAAACCATCTTAAAATTTCCAGGAACCGGCTCAGGAGCAAGTTCTAACAAAATTGCAAATAATTTATTTAACTCGCCCGCTTATGGTTTTTTTAATTCACTCTCCCACCCATTTATCTAAAAAATTTTCACCTAATGTTTAAAATTATTTTAATGGCTGCTTGGCTCTTGATATATTTATGTATTTTTCGTGGCTAAAATCCGCCCACTCAGACCTTTAATCTCTAATCCAAAATCAAAAACATTAATAGCGATTATAAGATGGTTTGAATATTCTGATTAAATTATTTTACATCGATTAATGATCATTTACTATATGGCATCAAAGTTACACAGATATGGATACTGCTGATCTTAAAAAATGGGGAAACCCCTTCTATCTTTCTTATCGATTTGAAACTTATTAATTTATGGCATAATGTAGACTAAAAAAAAATTAAATTTATGAGGGTTATTTATCATTATTTAGTATTGTATAGCATTAAAAATATAGGCCCCGATACAAATTATCTATGTGCATTTTTATATAGTATCTTCCTGCTAATTTTAATTTTTTTTTGCTTTGTTAAGTTTATGTCCCTTTGTGATTCATTTTATGTATTTCCTATTTTTTTGAATTAATCTTATTTAGCAGACCTTTAATGCCCTATTTATATTATATCATCTCACAATAAATTTAACATTTTTTATTTTTTTAAAGTGGTCATTTGGCGTCACCTTATGGGAAATAATAAGCCTAGGCGTTATGCCTTATTACGACATAGACCCTTTCGAAATCGGTAATTATTTACAAAATGGTTATCGTTTAAACCAACCCACTCAGTGCCCGGACGAATTGTGAGGATTCAATTTATTTAATGCGGGATATTTTTAAACAAAAATTTTCATCTCTATTACTCTTTTCGAACCAAATTTTTTAAGTAAAATATGTTGTCTTACCTCTCATTCAGAGATGAATTCGCGGCGAAATATACAATACGAGAAATTTTTATGTATTTTTATATACCTCGCTGCGAATTCGCACTAACTGTAAATGCAGGTTTATGTTGAGATGTTTTATGATAATTATAACTTTGAATAAAAATTAGATTTATTTAAGGAAAAAGGTCAAAAAATTTTTAGTTATACTATTTATATCAGAGAAACTATAGGTCTAATTGTTAAATCCCATCCTGAGGTTATATTTTGGTTTTAAGCATGGCTTCAGTCAAAATTAATTGATATAATTTAAATTTAACAAATCATAGTACCCCGCTTTTATATTTACAAATATTAAACCCGGCCAGACCCGGATTTTTAAAGTTATGGTGCATGTCGTGTGATTTATATAAAATTGAAAAAAATGTTAAGATTTTCAATAAATAAGTAATTTTAACTTATATTTATACCTTCTTTTTTTAAAAAAAAATAAATAAATTTAACAAGATATTCCATCATACTAAGCTGCTTACATATAAGACCAGAAAACAGACCTAATATCGAAATTTTATTAAATCTATTGTTACATTTTCAAAAGACGCTAGACAATTTCATTTAGAAACGAGATATATTTATCGTGTAAATTATATGTATTTTTATTTATCAATAAGAAAATGAATCTGTAATATATTACTTCAATTTTCAATTAAGTAAAATAGAAAAAATAATAAGTATTTTAAAATTTATAAATTAAACTATCAATAGCATTTAATGAATAGATGTAAAAAGGGCATTCAATTATATCTATTTAGAGTATTTAATTATTCACTCTTTCGACGATTTTAATAAATCCATTTATAAATAACTCGCCTTTAATATTATTTTTTTTTAAAACTATTAAATAAAGGCCTACGTTTAAAGAGTCTAGTATTTACTTTACAGGGTAAAAATAAAACCTAAATTGTATATAATTTTTTGATGATTTTAATCAAAATGTTATAAATTATGATTTTGTGCATATTTTAATCGAATCTAAAATATATTCTTTATATAATAATCTTAATTGAATTTGATAAAAACTGCATTTAATGGACAAAAAAAATCATTATTTAAATATATATATATAATTATGCTGATTTGGTCTCCCAATATACTACTTAAAAATGAAAGTTATTCTGTTAATAATTTATCATTTATTTATATTATAATAAACAACAAATTTTATATTTCATTATATTATTTATATATGTTCTTATAGCTTTTCTTCTAATTCATTTATTAAGGGAAATATTTGATCGTTTAAATATTATCAACTTCAGCCCCTCACATCTATTGAAAGATAGTTTTCGAAAGGCTATAGGGTGGTTCAGAAAATCATTTAAACAGGCATAAAATATTTTGTATTTGAGCGACACCATTAGTTGAAAACTAATTTTAAGATAGTTAATATTTGGAAAAAAGTTAGTTTGGAGTTCTGCAAAATCAATTTTTTTAGGCCCCGAACCCGGTGGTAAAATTAAATTAAGTAGTATATCATCGCCTGAGAATTCGATTATTCTATCTACACTTTTTGTAATTTTACAAGAGCGCAATTTTAAAAGTTAAGTGTCTATTGTTTTCAATAAAATACTTAACTTTATATCGGCTATAATTTAGCTTATTTTATATATATTTCAATTTTTTTTGTGTAAACAGAATAGTACAGTTATAAAAAAAATTGATTTATGTAAAAAAAGTCATTTTTTGACAAAAAGTAGATATGGAATATCTAATTCTCAGGCGACGATATCTCAAATTATAAGTATTTGGCAATCATTTAGATAATAATAATTTAAAAATTTGAATAAGCCAAATCATCATTGGTGATTATAATAGCAAAACCTAATATATTGCCAAGCAGACGCTCCTTTTAAGGTAGCTAGCTTCCGCTACTAAATTTTTAAAAGGAGCTAGCTCTCGCTCCAAATAATGGAGTGCCACTCCATAGCCGCTCCTTTAATTTTCATTTTTCTTAGAAAATACAAGAAACTTATTATTTTATCAAATTTTATTAAATTATATATCAAAATATTTATAATCTTTTATTAGCTTTTAAAAGTAATAATTTTCTAAATTTGAATCTAACAAACATCCATGCCTCTCCCCTAAATTTAGTAATACTAAACAGGCGCTCAACAGGAGCACTATAGAGAAGCGAGGTATTGTATTTTATAAAATTATATTTTAATTCTGGAAATTTATCAAAAATAGTTTTTGATATCATTGTTTAAAAGATATTTGTCCAATATGTTATCTTCCTGATGATCAATTTCTTGGAATCCAAAAAAATCCTCCAACTCTTGCAGGGTTCCCGTGAACTATTAGCTATTGCATCAGGAATTTGTTTTCTTAAGAAATTAATTTATTTGTATTTTAGTTCCATATTCTGTGCATTTTTTATCCATTTCCAATTTAATTTGAATGCAGGATGGATAATAGCCGCAATGATATTTTCATCATTATAAGCATATGAAAATCTTGCAATAAACTTATTTAAATAGATAATTTATTTTTTATTAATACCGCTTATAAGAGACTCTATAAGAGGTTGGTAAAACTCTAAATCTGCTAAGTCGTTTAATTTGAAGTAAGTTTAAAAACGGTTGGAGTTAAGAAACCCATATCCATATGAAGCTCCCCTTCAAGGATTTTTAGCAGGGATGAACCCTGAACCCTCGTATTTTGGCTGTACCCGAACCCGGACCCTTTTTAAAAGTGGAGAGTCCAAGGGTTCTATAAATATTTTTTAAAGTTTATTAACTTTTTTTGTGGAATAATTTATTTTATCTTCGCGTTTTTCTTTCAATTTTCTTCCTGGACTTCCATTTTATTTAGAGATTGATATCATAAATTATTTTCTAGTGTAATAATATTTTATTATGTAAATTATTAATATGCTATGTTATAGAAATACATTGATTATTTTGAAAGTGAATTATTTTGTAGTGCAAGTAATAATATTTTAATTTAAATGATGATGCACAACACGTTAGTCCTCAATTTGTATGATGCTAGAACGATTATTAAGTTTGAAAGATTTCTGTAATGATTTTATTATAGGAGCATGTGAACGTGAAGTCATTTTGTTGGAAAGTGTATTAGTTATTTTAAAAATAATAACATTAAGATTGCAATCAGAACAATTATGTTTACTGATTTTTATGGCATATGGATTAGATGCCGATAAGATTTAGAAAGATTTACTACTCCTTTTTCATACGGAATATTATAAAACATAAAAATTCGAGAGTAACAATATTTGCAAAATAGTGTTGTATTCGCTTTTATATATTTAGACCCTCGATATCAAATTTTATTGAGTAATGAGCAAAAACAAATGGCTAAAGACCATCTTAAGGATTTATGGCATACGCAAAACTCTATTATTTACAATATATTGGAGGCTACAACAATACCTATTGATTGTAGTGATAATAATAATAATGATAGCAATATTGTTGATCTTGAAATTTTACTTTTAGATAGATAAAAAAATCAAATTATCATCAGATAGATCAAAAAATGCCTATTGCATATTTAATAGAAAATATCTCAGAAGTTAAGAGAATAAATAAGTATACAAGTATTTTAAAATTCTGGGAAGAAAATTCTTCAATATATCAAGAATTATATATCTTATCTAGAATCTTCATGGCTGTATCGGCGACGCAAGTACAATAATTTTATAAAGATAACTATCAATTTTAGGTAAGGGTAGAACGTGAATTTTCATCTTTGAAATATATATCTAATTTAAGTGGAAATCTCAAGGATGATATTTTAGAAGATATTATGATTGTGCGATAGAAAAAAACATTTAAAATATAAATTATTTCATTTTTAAATTTTTCATTTGTAAATTATGAATATGTATATATTGAAGTATAATAATAAATATATGAAAAAAAATCTTATTTTGAGTCATTATTTATATGTTCCCCGAACCCTGGACCCGAGTTCTTTTTAAATTTTATTCCTGTACCCGGACATGGACCCTTTTTTTTGTCGAAGGGTTCTCATCCCTGATTTTTAGAACTTTTGCCAAAGGCTCCATAACCTAAAATTTATTTATTTCAATAAGATAACGATTATATTAATATATATTTGGCTATACTCTTTAATAAATTTTAAGCCCATGGTTATCACATAACTCATCAAGGTCTTTTTTAGGGGTGGGACCAATACCAATATAATATTGGTTTACAATACCAATACCAATATAAACCAATATATATTTAAATATTGGTATTGCTTTTACAACCAATACCAATTACCTAAATATATTGGTTTTGATATATTGTTTAAATACAATTTTAACCAATACCAATACCAATATTAAAAATAACATAATTATTTGGGTTTATCGTGGATAATTATATCGTGGTATTTTTTTTACTTTCATTGCAAAAACTGATTACATCTGTTATTTCTTCCAATACTACTGTGATATCAATATTTCTGTTATTTATAATTATAGTTTATTTTCATTATGGAAGTAAATTTTTTACATGATATCTATCAATTTTATCTATTTATTTAAAATATTATAATAAATGAAGACCAAATAGAGTTAATAAATATAGATGCTGTTGGTACTAATAATAATAGCGATAATGAACAAGAAGAATTATCAATATCTAATAAAAGACGAAATTCAGCAAAAATCTGGGAATTTTATACTACTTGTGATAATAAAAAAAAGGTAATTTGTAATAAATGTAAAAAAAAAATATCACTTCCCACTTTTGGAACCTCAGGATTATGGACACATCTTAAATCCATCCACCCAACATTATATAAGAAATGTGAGCAAATAAATATTGGCAGTAAAAAAATTAAGACAATAAAATTATTTTTACTTAATAATATAAATAATAAAGCTAATTTAAATAATTTAATTATAAACTTTTTCATTGAGGATATCACTTTTAAAAATTTAATAGCATATTGTAACCCTTCGCTAACATTAGTTTCTAAAAAAACACTAAAAATAGAAATTATGAAACATTATCATAGTTCTTTTATCAATTTAAAATCTGTACTTTCTAACATTACATCTAAATTTTCCTTAACATTGGACATTTGGTCCTCTCCAAATAAAATACCCTTTATGGGCATAACAATTCATTATATTGATAATGATTTTAAATTAATTAATCATTTATTTTATTCCTTTTAAATCAGCACATAATTCTATTAATATTTTTAATATTTTTAATTCTGTATTAAAAGTAAAATTTGAAATTGATTTTTTTTTGCATTACATTAGACAATGCAAGTAATAATTTAGCATTTCTAAAAATTTTAAAACAAAAAGATAATTTTGAAAATGTGTGCAAATGCTTTTGCCATATTATACATTTGGCTGTCATGGCTGCATTGGAACCCTTAAATACAACTTTAAAAAAAATAAGAAATTTTTAAAAAAATTTTTAAACTTTCTATATCTAAATTTAATAAACTCGAAAAAATATATCTTGAAAAAAATCCACACTTATAATTTCCTCACCCAATCTTGGATATACCAACACGTTGGAATTCAACATACCAAATGCTTGAAAGAGCAATATTGCTCAAACCCTATTTGACAACATATACCAATCATTTACAAAATACCAATCAAGAAAATTATATTAGTGCCTTAGCCTGGAATAATATAGAAATATACCGAGAATTTTTGGAACCATTTAATTTTGGTACAGAGATGGCCTCATGTGCTTATACTCCAACAATTTCAACAATTATTCTTTTATATTCCAGTATTTTTGAGCATGTGGAGAGTTATAATAATAATCCTAATGCTATTTTAAAGACAGCTTCTTTTGCTGCCTTAACAAAACTTAATAAATACTATAATTATAATACACACCTCTTTATTATTTCAACAATGATTGACCCAAGATTTAAACTATCAAGTCATTTATTAAAGCATAATAATATGCAAACTCTTATTGGATATCTTACTAATGAATACAATATTTTTAAATAAATAATAACAATTCAGCGGAACTTACAAATGAAGCACAAAATAACAAAAAATTATCCTTTTATGACAAAATTTATCAGGTGAAACCTCATAATAATAACAACTTAGAAATAAGTAAATACGTAGATGAAGCCACAATTTCCAATGATACAAATCCATTAGATTGGTGGAAATTAAATAAAAATAGATATCCAGTATTATCAAAAATTGCTAGAGATTATCTAGCAATTCCGGCCACCTCATCTAGCTCTGAAAGGGCTTTTTCAGAAGATTGGTATGTTATTACAGACCAACGTTGTTCACTAGTTGAGCGTACTATACAAGCTTACCTGTGCCTAAAAAGTTGGATGCGCATGCAAGATTCTTCTTAAATACATAAAATTATTTTCTCCTCTTATATTAAAATTATATCATTCTTTTGCATTATATTTTGTATAAATAGAGAGTTATGTTACATTTTTAGTTTATTTTGCTATGTTCTTTGTGATAAATAAAATGGTTCAAAATCAATACGTTTATTATTGTTGATACAAAAAATGCATGATTAAATCAAAATTTTTTATATTCACATCACCTAATAAATTCCTAGTTTAAAAAAGAATTTGAATTCAGTAAAATTTTGAGAGTTGGTTCTTAGCCCTGATTTTATGGTATCATGATTTTTTTCCCCATGTTTATTTAAAAATAGAAATTAAGGGTTTTATAATCACTATTTTTATTCTTTTAATTAGTAATTTGAATTTAAACCAATACCAATATAAACCAATAGTTACCAATATAAACCAATACCAATAGCAATACCAATACAAGAAATAGAAAATATTGTTTAAACCAATACCAATATTTTAGACCCAATACCAATACCAATACAATATTTTGTTAATATTGGGTTTTTACTATTGGTTCCCAGCCCTAGTCTTTTTGTTTTTCACTTAATATTTTATCTAACAAAATCATAGATTCATAATACGAATTCCATCTATTGGAATTTGGGCATATCAGATACCTACCCAATTTTTTGATATTATATGTCATATTAGTTATTTTGCTTATTCCATAAAGATTGACACTTTTGGAAGGAACTTTGAGATAATATTTTAAAGCATCTATCAGCTAAAGCTTTCTCTGCATCAACTGTGGCTACCAAATTGATATTATCGCAGGCACATCGTGAATATTGTGGTAGATAATCATAGCTTTCGGCCCTGTTATTTAGGATATCATCAACACCCACAAATTGGAAATCTTCATCCATCTCAGAAATTTTATCCTCAAACATTCTAAAAAATAAAAGGAAAATTAACATAAATAGATGGCATTTAAGTGAACAATAAAATATGTAGATAATTTATAATGTAAATAAAAACTGCACTTTTAACCATGTAGAGTTACAAAATGATCCATAGCTTTTATTTTTAGCATTATTATTTTTAATTTAATTTGGATCGTATTTTTTTGGAAAAGCGCCAACTTCAGCATTTTAGACCATTAATATCTCGGGACCTGTTGTTATTAAGAGATTAAAATTTTAATTTCGATGTCTATTAATGATAGGGGTCAGGTTTTTAAATTATCGATTTCATATTAGGAATCAACTCTTCTTAATGCTTGCTGAAGAAGTCGGCACAGCAAATATTTTTTATTATTCGAAATGACCTCTTGATTTTTTAAAACTTTTCTTCTGTATTTTCTAAATCGCGATATTCAACCAGGAAGAATGGGAATAAATTATTATTAATTTTTAAATAGAATGACGCCACAAGCATATATAAGTCAATTTTTCCTCATTTTCAAAAATTTATCAATAACATGATTTTTTAATGTGCAAAAAAAACACATTCAAGGCTAATATCATATAATTGTAATTTCATTAAATGGAGATTACGCATAAATATATTTTTTAAATGAACAAATGGCATGTATGGCACAATGATGAATAAAAATGAAACTTTAACACAAAATAATATTTAATATTATAATAATTTTATCTAAAATTATATCCCTCAAAATTAAAATCGATTTAATACATTTTAAAAAATATAAGATAACTTATTTTTAACTTAAAGTTTCTTTAATATTATTTATATAAAAATTTTGTTAAAATAACGATCTCCATGCTACCTATTCGTCATACCAACCATATAAAGGGTGGCATTTTTAAGCCCTCTTTTAATTAATTTTTAAGCAATTTTGAATCAATCATATTTTATTTGTCCCATTATGGAGTCAGTCTGTTTGTACAAAGTATTTGACACATAAAAAAAATATTTTGTTATATATATTCACTAATTTTATTTTAATAAAAAAAATAAAATAATATAAATATTTATTGCATTTGCATAATTATCACTATTCTCATTATAAGTATGATTACAAGAAGTTTTCCCAAAAAAACTACTTTATAATTTAGTGGAAGATAATATTCGATATTACACCTGCTTGCGACAATAATAACCTAATATTCTGCATTTTTCGCATAAGCTTTGAGGATGTTCTTTGCTTTGATCGGATACATCAAGTCCATCCGGTTTCTCCAAAGGTCGCTATGCGTAAAAATAAGATTTATTCTTTTTATCGCCTATAAAAAGATCGTAAAAGAAAAGAATAAAAGTGCCATTTCTCAAGTTCTCAATATATTTAACTGTTTTTATCAAAACTAACCTTTAACTTTCTAGTAAATAAAAAATGACCTCATTAAAGAATAACCCTTGAATTTTAATATCAACTAGTTTTAAACAAAGACTCGAACCGTTATGTATAACGGATCAGGTTTGATCATGGTTCAGTTGCTTAAAATTTTAAAGGTTCGGTTGAGGTTTTTTCAAGTTTTATAATATTTAATTAAAACAAATTAAATAAAAAACAAAGACACAAAATATAAATGATTCTATTAGACTTTCTTTCTTTCTAAAATAAGCAATATACTAGTTATTATTCGAATTAATAAAAACTCCACAGGGAAAAGTAAATTGTAAATTATCAAATATCATGGTATGTTATAATTTATATATATAAAACAAAATGGTTTTAAACCGGTTCAAAAAAATTATAAACGCTCGGTTCGCTCCTTTCATGATTTGGCCTAAAATTTCGGTTACGGTTCAAAAAATTATAAAGTCTCCCGGTATTTCGACTCGCTCTAGGCCTCTGGTTTTTAACAATTTAATCATAAACAAAACGTATTTTTGAAATTAAGTTAAATAATTTTTCATGGCCTAAAATCATCTTTACCCCTAATATAAAAGTGGATTGTAATTATACTTGCTTATGTGGGTAAACATTGAGGCGGCATTTCATACATTCTTGTCCCATATTAGCCCAACTGTTGCCGGACATCCATTTTCTTTTACATTTCGAGCATTTATATTCGCCGAAGCAGCGTTTTTTGCCCTGATACGGTGTAAGACCTTCGTTGAGAGGCTTACAATAATTTTTTTTTGAGCAAAGGTTAACTCTAAATTCGATTGAAAAAAATATAAATATAATCCTTTTAAAGCCTAAATTTTCAATTAATATTTGAATAATTATTTAATAAACATTACAAATAGGAAATCAATAATTGCAAATATTCTATACTCCGAGGGCAGATAAGGATAATTGTTTATAAGACATATTGGTATTCATTGCGTAATTTAATGAGTCGGGATATGTGTAAGGTAACCCGAATCGGAGACTATCATCGCAGAAAGGATTCGAAAGTGGAAGGTGAGTTGAAGCACTATTCCAGCTAGAAGGAGTGATTTGATGGATATTATTCGCTAAGACGTATTGTGCCTGATGGGGATCGTTTAAGGAAAAATTATGAAAGTCACCTGTTAAAATTTCATCAATATAAGTGTGATCAAAGCCATAAATTGGGAAAGGCATTTGGCAATACTCAGATAAGTTGGAAAAATTATGTTCGGCAAAAGAATCTTGAGGAGAAACACAGTTAACTATGACCTGGGAAACTTCAAATTTAGTTATTTTTGAAGGTTGTGTAATCAGTTGGTTTTTATAGCTATGAGAACTCATTTTTTGGTTTATATATTTATGGCCTACTAATTTTTTAACAGTTCCTTTAACGATATTCTCACAAGTTGCATCATTTGTTAAATGAGTATAACTCATACATTTAGGTTTTTCACCATGTTTCCCATTACTATTTCTGTTAATACTTGTGTCGGATGATAGGTATTGATGATTGATCAAATTCAAATTACCATTGTACATTGCCGGATAATAATACACATTATTAATTAGAGGAATACTCTATATATAATATAAAATAGATTTAAATAGAATTGCATCTTTAATGTTTATGTAGGTATTAAAAAGATCATCGCTATTTATAACCTATTCTCAAGATCTTTTTATAGGGTATCCTAACATTTACTTAAATAGATTGTTCCCAATTACACTCAAAATATGTTGTGGAGAGATGTTATGGCCAATCTTTAGACATATGTTTAGTTATAATACCAATATTTTATAATAAAAATAGTTAAACATAAAATAGTTTCAAATTTTTCGTTGGTCCTCTATAACATTTATGGGCATTTACAGTTCTTAGGAGACGATTTTTTTCGACCCAACCTGGCCCTGATGAATGGAATGTTTCTCATTGCAGAAAAAAATATATCCGACTAACCTGAACATATTAATTTCATCTTTCGCAAAATTTAATATGAAATTTTTTATCCAAAAATTTATTTATATTTAATTTTGAGTGTATTTTAAGAAATAATCTTAAAATTATGTTCTAACAATGATTTAATAATATCATTGATTAAATTTAAAAAAATATATTTTTCCGATACATCCCAAAAAAATTTTTAAAATTATTTCCAGGCTTACGGGTAGGGTAGGGGATGTACTTTGGCTGGTTGCTATGTCTCCCCCCCATCAGCGGGAGACTCCCGCAATTTTTTTAGTTTACCCCATACATCTCACTTCCGCAACTACCGCAATTAGAAATCTACCACAATTTTTAAATTTCTCTCGTAAATAATTTTGAGAAACAGTAATTGATTATTTTAATATTTTTAAAATAAATTTTAAATTATTCAAAAAACATGTCCAGTTAAATTTTTTTCTTACCTTAATCATGTTTTATTTTTATCCAATAATAAATCAACATCATTCATTCATATTTTCATTTGTGTTTGTGCATAACATAGGGCTAGGCGCTTAATTATCACGTATCACATTTAAATTCTTTTATATATAATATAAATAAAGTAACTCCAAGGCAAAGTAGTAGAAAAAACTAAATATAAAATATTACCTATTTTGAAATTATAAAACGTTACCGAATTTGTTAATATTTATAGTAAGTAATTATAAGAATTAAGAGGGGAATAACTACGGCAATTCACAATCCCGGCCGGCCATTTTTTTTAGAAATTTTTATATTTAACCCGGAAATTACCAAATTTCTCCCGTAATTTGACAATTTTGACCTGGCAACCCTGTTCACGATCACAACTCCAATTCACGACTCAAGTTGCTAGTGTAAAGTAAAAATTATACAATATTTTCAGATTATAAGAAGAGAACAATTTTCAACAAAAGGAATCTAATGTTATTAAAGATAATTATTTCTATACTAATATTGAAATGCAAAAAAATATGATTGAGCAAAATCATAATAAAATATTGTAATAAATTGGTTTTGGTTGGTGCTTTGACTCGGGTCTATGGATAAAGTCGATCAGATCAACCCATTGGTTGGGTTGGTTCTGGCTTATTTCGACCAAAAACAAGGGTCATGTAAAACCAGCCATTTAACCTACCTACCTCCGCATCTCAAATTAGGTTAAATTAACGTAGAAGCTCATATTCCTCATGACTCGCAACCTTGACCAGAATGTCGAAAACGTTTTTAATAATTTTAATAAAAGAGGAGATATTAATTTTTTTAAAAGAAGGCTCTCCCTACAAATTAAAATCGTTGTTGGCTTGGTTTTGACCAAATCACAATCCTGTTTTACCTTATTACCAAATTTAGGGAAAGGTATAATAATTTTAAATAAAATTATTGCTCTAATCTTATAAGTTTTAAATATTTTGATGTAAATTCATATCATATTTCATTTTCAAATGATAAATTATTATATTTATATACTTACTTATAATATCCTGCATTGATCGATAGATTTCTTATTTAATTTAATTTTTTTTTGAATTATGAAATTGCAGAATAAATTTATTGTTAAACGATTTTTTAAAAATGATTTAATAGACAAATGGTTTTCCATAAAACATATTTATATTAATTATATAATATGCAGGACGCCCTGATAAAGGATTAAATTACAAAATCTAAATAAAAAATTTATTTCCATATTTTAATATTATGCAATAATTTCCTGTTCTGGATTCAAGTTCAAAAAATATTTTTTGCGAGGTCTGTTTCATTAATTTCAATTACTATTCTTCATTTTAAAGTTATAATATTGTGTTAATTATATATTATATATATATCCCTTTTCCGATTTTTTTTATAAAGTCTCGATAACTATCATAATTCTTTTTTCTTTCGAAAATTTGTCCTAAAATTTTATAATAGTAGTAACTTAACCTTTTTTTTCGAATATAGTTTTTTTTGGTTTAAAAATTATTCTTCTTATTTCTACATTATATAATCCCTCTTAATCTAGAAAATCGTATTTATCTATCAAACCCTAAATTTTCTGGAAAATCTTATTTATCTATCAAACCCTAAATTTAATTTGAGTGCACCTAAATAATTTAAAAAGCAAATTCTTTTTAGCACGCCTAAATGATTCCCACTAAGTAAAAACTATCAAAAATCGTGATTAAATGATATACATATAAATTTTAAATATCTACAGATTTAAAAATCACGATACCAATAACGATCTTTGTGTTATCAATATTTATCGATGATGATTAATAAAAAATATCCCTAGTTGATTTGTAAATCTATCGAATTCATGGTTCGATAGCAGGACATTTTTAATATATTTTACATAGGAATGTTAATAATATTTATGCTATAATTAGAGTTTGGAACAGGAGCTCTTGGAACCTGAACCAATTTAAGAATTATAACCTTGCCCTTAAAATTTACTAAACTGGAACTAGAGGGTCTTTTAAATTTCCTAGAACCTTTGGAATCGGGTAAAATGTAAGGAAGGGAACAAGAAGTTATTTTTAACTTTAGCTTAGGAACCTGAACTGCTTTTTTTAAAAATTGTTTAAAACCAGAACCTTTTTTAAATTCTAAATTCGGTGTTTAATGATTAATAAACAAGAAGCCCATAATTTTTAAGAAATATTTGTATTTTAAAATTAGACTTTGCAAGATATTTGTCTTAAATACAATCAAATTCTTGATTACGGTCCTGCATCAAGATTAAGATTTGGTAAGTGAGTTACAACTGGATCATTTCATTTAGTTGTTACTCATTTACCTTACCAGCGAATCATCATAATATAATACTTAAATTAAAAAGTTACTTTATCGTATGAAGGTTGAATGCTAATCATACTAGAAGTCGCCATTTACAATCAATAATTCCTGAATATTTTTTTTTTAAATGTTATATTATTGTCACCCTCACGGCATCTAAATTCATAAAAAAATATTTATAACTGTTTTGATTTTTTTTTTCGAATAGCGGATAACGTTATATCAAAGAATTTGTCATAATTATAAATAGTTAATCATGTAAAATTATTATACAAAATTAAATATCGATTCGATTCAATATTTTAAAAATATTATAAAATATAGCGTTCAGCTTCAGATGATTCATATTTTATTTATTTTTAAACACAAATTTTTTTTAATTCAAGGTTTTATTATTTATCTTTTTTTGAAAAAAAAAGATAGAAAAACACAAATTAATCTTTCAAAATCTATTTCTTTTTATCAATATAGTTTACGTTATAAAACTTGAAAAAAGCACATGATAAATATATTTTTGATTCGAAAAAAACGTAAATCGTCTTCTGTCCACCATTCCTTTCCCCCATCATGCTTATTGATTGATCTTAATACTCCTTCGCGTCGCTATGAATAGTGATATCGTTATTGTAATAGTATTTGATGTGAATTCATCGTTAAGCGAGAAGAAAAACAAATTTGGAATTTCAAGGTAACTTTTAGTTAAGGACAATGAAAAAAAGTTAGTAATTATCAAAATAAAAAATCATTCTAACTGGATTAATTTAAACGATCAATAAGAAAAATGATAGCAGATTAGCAAAACAGCCAATGTTTTTAAAATATTAGAAATTATTTCTTATTTAACGATATAAAAGTAAAATTAAAAGTTTTGTGTATGGATAGTTAATAATATCTAAAATCATTTAAGTAATATAATTTCTACCATGATCATATCGCCTAACCTATCTTATGCTGGGGTTTGGAAACCGGCCTTTTTACTTACAGGGTTTGGATAGGTCTTTTATTTAAGGAACATGTAAGTGTATATTGGTCCGGTCCAAAGATCAGACTATGATATTCACTAGGTATGACTCAAAATCATCATTGAAGTTGAAAAGGGGAGTAAGGGGTTAACTTTATTCTCCTTTATTTTATGTTAATTTTGATTTGGTAGAAAAGTGGGCTAATGTTGTCAATTGGTTTTGGGAAGTGTTGAAGTCGATGGATTAGTTTTGTAAAATGGCTCAATTTTATCGAATTGCACTAATAGATATCCTAAACTTTGTGCTATTTATGAGAAAAATCTTCAGACTTTGGTAATTTTTGTGCATAAAATATTGAGTCAGCTGTTTTTAAATCAGCCTAAATTGGGCAGTTTAACAGTAATACCCTTATAGGACCCGTTGGCTTTTACTATCAGTAATCATAGAGATCAAATAGAAAAAGGTTACTTTTCAAGCTTGCAGTTGTGGAGAGAAAAATCACAATGTAATAAATATAAAGACAATCTTTAAATTCCGTGAAAAAAGTCCTGATCCAAATTATACAATATTAGAATCAAATACGAATAAGAAAAAATATTATTCGTCGACTAAATTTTTATACATTATTCGATCGAATTGTATTCTTAGTAAATATTTGAAAACTTAATCATAAATAAGTAACATGCATCTTACCGAAGATTTTATTTTTTTACTTTATTTCCACATCTATAAATTTATAAATCTTCAAATTTTTATAATCTTAATTTTCCCAGAGTTTGAAAAAATCTTTAGATTTTCCATCTTAAATGTTTTACCAAGAAAATACATAATTTATAACGCCTAATTTATTAAGCAATCCGAATAAGAGGTATGGTATGACAAGCCCATAGGGGTTTAAAAATAGAGTTTGCTGATAAACATAAATGAACTTTCGTATAGGAACTGGTGCAAAATACCTTTAATAGTTGGCCAGGATTTTTTTAAAGAAACTTTAAATTTATGACTATTTATCACAGGCTCTAATCAGTTTAAGTGGTAGGGTTGGAAAAATAATATCTCAAATTAATCAGTATTGTTAAATAGCTCGATTTTTAAAAACAGCGGACTCAATATTTGAGCCAGAAAAATATGGCCAAAGATTTTGCTCATAAATATCTAAACCTTTGTGCCATCTATGAGAAAAATCTTCAGACTTGCATAATATTTTTCTGAATAAAATATTGAGTTGGCAGTTTTTAAAAATCGGCTACGAGTCGTTTAACAACACTAATTAAATATATTCAATTTTTTTATAAAAATCATGTATAGTGGGTTAGAATCTTATTAGTTTAAACAATTTCAGTAACATAAAATTTTATACTTTAAAATGGAATCCATTAGTACTAATAAAACGCAGAGCTGAAACATGACAAATTAGAACTAATGGTCTGCAATGAGTAGTTAAAAATGTTTATATTATTTAAATGATTTAATTCTCTCCTAAAATCCTACCTCCAGCCTCATCGTGGTTGGGGAGTGGCAACGTCTTTTGGCGGCTAATGGAAGTCTAAAAGGTTCCCTGTGATCTGGGTCTAGATTAGGATCACCGTCCCCTCGACGGGATGTAAAAACCACTTAAAGGGGTTGAAGTTAGGAAGGGCATCCTATTGTAAAAACCTTGCCACAAAATTTTCCTATGGTTACAACAAAGCATGGGGAGGGGAGGGTGGTACAGCCCAAAGTACCTCGTGGGCCTCCTCATCAGCCTACGACAAAAAGAAGATATAAAAACCTGGTTGAACCACGATTCATGAAAATGAAACGTATGACTGCCATAAACGAACTGATAATAAGTGGAGAAACCAGTTTAGGGGGGATCGAGTAAGGGTCGCGACATGGAATGTTGGGAGTATGACGGGAAGAGCGGTATGGTCGATGTATTGCATAATAGGCACCTAGATGTGTGCATACAGGAGACCAGATGGAAAGGAAATGGCGCAAGAATGATTGGCAAGACTAGTGAAAAGTATAAATTTTTTGGCAAGATGGTAAGGTTGGAGTTGGGGTATTGGTTGCGGAGAAATTGGTAGATGAAGTAATTGAAGTGAGAAGGCTAGATAACCAAATAATGGTTATCAAGATGATTTTTGGTAGAAAGCTATATAATAATACGACATATGTTCCTCAGGTTGGAAGGGAAAAAGGGAAAGATATATTTTGGGACAGTCTATTGGGGGTGACATCGAGACTAGCAAATGAAAAGGAGATTATCCTGGCTGGTGATCCGAATGCACATGTGGGAGCGAGTATTGAGGGTTATGAAAGAGTACATGGAGGGTTCAGTTACGGCATGAGAAATCTGGAAGGGGAGAGGAATTTAGATTTTAGTGATGCTATGTATATTATTGTCTGTAATACAATATTTAAGAAAAATCAGAGAACTGGTGACTTATTAGTCGGGTAGTACCAAAAGTGCAGTGGATTATTTGTAATTAATATGTGATAGATGTATATTAAAAAATGTGAAAGTGATACCGGGAGAGGAATGTATTAATCAGCATCGACTAGTTATAGGAGATCTCACTTTGAAAGGAGCCAGGATCACTAAAAGAAAGTTTGTGCCAAGACTGAAGGTCTGAAAATTGAAGGAGAGTGCTAGACGTCAATTCATTATGACATTGGCGATAAGGGAGGCGGAGTTGGCACAAGTATCTGGGATAAATGACAAATGGGAAGCCATGAAGAAAGCTTGGATGATGACAACTGAGGAAGTATGTCGATGGACAAAAGGGCCGCCTAGACATAAGGAGACTTGGTGGTGGAACCCGGAGGTAGCAAAAGCTGTGGATGAGAAACGGAGGTGCTTGAAAGAATGGTATAATAGTAAAGAAAATACAGAATAACGATATTTACAAGATGGCGAAAAGAAATGCTAAAAAATTAATAGCGAAGGCGCAAGAAAAAAAGCAGGAGTTTTCTAAAGAAATGGAATGCGCTGAAGGAATGGGAAATATGGTTTGAATGGCAAAGCAGATGGCAAAAGAGGCAGGATGTGGTAGGTGTTAAATGTTTAAAAAATATGGAAGGAAAATTAGTGATTGGTAGTAGTGGTATTAAGAACACCTGGAAAATCTACATGGAAGGACTTTTGAACGAAGAAAATGAATGGGATAATAATGTTAGTTTAACAAATATAGAAAGCCCAGGGTGTAAATTTGGCAAGGACGAAATAAAAAGAGCAGTGAAAAAGGTATCTGGTTTAACGATGATGGTATCAGATATGCCTAGAGGTTTTAATGATTCAGGGATTGAATGGATAATGAATTTAGCCAATCAAATTGCCACAGAAGGAACTATTCCCAAAGACTAGTGAAGAAGTATAATAATCCCAGTATACAAGAGAAAATGTGATCCTTTAGTTGCGGGTCTTACAGAGCTATTAAACTATTGGAACATGTAATAAAAGTATTTGAGGGTGTTAGAAAGGCGGATGGAACAAACTAAAATTGATGAAATACAGTTTGGCTTTACATCGGGGAAAGACACGACAGCTGCAATTTTTGTGGTGGGACAAATACAGGAGAAGTATCTTGCGAAGGAAAAGAAGCTGTATTATGCGTGTTGATTTGGGTAAAGAATTTTACAGGATGCCGCGCGAGGTTCCTAGATGGGCCTTGAGAAAATCAGGTGTGAAGGAATTGATTATCGCAGTGATGACAATGTATGTGAGAGCACAACAATAGTACAACACGGATTATGGTGATAGTGAAAGCTTTGAGGTGAAGGTAGGACTTCATCAAGGATCGCGGGGCCCATTATTATTTATCTTAGTAATGGATGTGGTGGCTAGAGAAATGCGTGAAGGACTTCCCTGGGAGCTATTATATGCAGATGACCTTGTATTAATGGCAAACAGTGAGGAGGAATTGAAGGATAAAATTAGTAATGGAAGATGACTATGGAAGCAAAGGGCCTGAAAATGAATGCATCAAAGACAAAGGTGATTGGTGTAGAAAATCTAAAGATGGAGGAATCCGGTAAATGGTTGTGGTGTATATTGGAAAAGAGTTATTAGAAATTCAATCCAATGCACCAAATGCCAGAAATGGGTACATAATAGATGTAGCGGGAAAAAGGGAAGTTTGATGTTAGCAAGAATGACCTTTATTTGTAGAACATGCATGAAAGGGATACATAATAATGATAACGTAGAAAATGGTGGTCTGTATAGTGGTAATGGGTAAACCCTAGAAAAAGTGGATTTGTATTTGGGTGATATGCTAAACGCAGATAAGAAATTCAGAGATGTCTATTCTTACAAATAAAAAATTTTCTTTGAAGTTAAAGGGGAAGGTTTACGTAAGCTGTGTGAGGAATTGTTTAGTTTATGACATGGGCAATGAAAGCGACTCACGAAGCCAAATTTGAAAGAAAAGAGATGAGGTTGATTAGATGGATGCGTGGGGTATCCCTGAGAGAGAGAAAAACTAGCAAGGAATTGCGAACAAGATTGAGTATAGAAATGATTGGAGTAGTAATGCAACTAAATAGACAAGATAGTTTGGGTATGTAGAATGTATAAAAAAAGATGACTAGATAAAGAGATGGGCATTGATGGAAGTAGGAGGATCAAGAACTAGAGGAAGGCCCAAGATGACGTGGACAAATGTGATAGCGGCGGTTATGAGAAGCATGAATCTTACAAATATTGATGCTCAGGGCCGTAAAAAATGGAAAAGAAAAATCAGAGGGAAAACTGGCCTACCCGGGTAAACCTGGAAATCGCTATAAAATAGAAAAAATTTAATTGAAAATATTTTGTTGGCGAAAGATCAGACTAAAAATATTTTTTTATTTCATAATATTGCATATTTTAACAGCTTTAAGTAAAAAATATAATAGAGCCAAACTTACCAATTAAATAATTTTTAAAAGAGCAAACAAATTAAACAAATGTATGAATTATCCAGCCATAATTATTAATATTTCTAATTTTTCCAATGTCAATTAAGTTTCTTAAATTCTCCTCTATGGCTATCTATTTATACAGCCGTCTTGTTTTATTTTTCGTGAATTTACTATATTTATAGATTTAATATTTATTAGACAGCTTTAAAATACAAAGAAAAAGCTTATTGGAATTTCTTTTCAAAAAGTATTAATCAAAATATTATCTAGAAATTCAAAAATATATAAATTTTTTCCCATTAAATGATAGTTTCCGATGGCAATCTAAACTAGAAATTAATAGACCAAAAAGCAGGGATCCAAACCGAACCTGAACCGTTAAAAAACCTGTATTTTTATCGAACCTAAACCACTAAAATAATTTCTAGCCGAACCTGAACCGAACCGCTAAAATGCCTCTGAGCCAGTTCGAGCGTCATTATAAAATAATGTGTAAATTATTACTAGTATATTGTATTTTAATTTATTCGAATTAAAGATTATTATCAATCACATTTGATTGATAAGTGCCAGTCATAATTTTTTATAAACTTTAGTATATTGCCATTTTCCAGCATTTTTTAAATATTTTAAGCTTATAAATTATAATGACTAAAGAAAATTAAATCCAATATATATATTATGTATATATAATATTATAAATGACACATCAAAATGTAATATCACTGATTGTTAAATAAATATGGAAGGCCATCATAAATCTTGAGCGTCACAAAAAAAAACCACCATCTAGAATTTGATAAAATTAACAAAAATATCACAACAAAAGCCTAATAAAATAAAAAAGTTTAAGATATCATCAAGCCAACAGACGATAGAAAAAACATTAAAAGAACAAACAATATCAGTAAAACTAAATAAAAAAAAATAATCGATGATTGTACTGAGTTGGTCACTTTTAATGGCAGACCATTCAAATTAATATATGGTAGCGTTTTTAAAAAACAACTTGGTCCTTATTAGAAGCTGTGGGTAAAATTAAAACTAATTCTCAAACTATTTATTCTAATGTTGCAGAATAAGCCTTAAGTATTTGGTAAAATATAATCAAAGATATTATAGGTAATTTTTCTAAAGAACCTAGGTTAAATAAAACTATGAATATTTCAAACGATTAGAGAAATCAGAGTAATCGATGCCCAGAATTATGTAAATTGTTTGATATCATACTGGCAGTGCCAGCTACCCAAGTTAGTTTGGAAAGATGTTTTTCAACAATTAAATTTATACTATCTCTTTATAGATGTAATTTGAGTGAGAACGAATCTTGAAAATATATTAATTGGGCAGTCTAATAAAAAATTATAAGTAAATAAAGTTAAATATTGTTCATATTAAAATTAATAGATATTTATTTGTATGATATATAATTTAAATATTATTTCATAATCTGCAAATTAATAAAAATTATGGTTTTATGTATGTTTTTTATTTTAATGGTGAAATAAAAAAATATACCTACCTATAGATAATTCGAATGTAGATTTGAATACAAAAATGTTCAAACCGGTTTTTAGAGGTTCGAACCGAACGAATATATTTATTTTTAACGAACCGAACCTGAACCGTTATTTTTATCCGAACCTGAACCGATATTTGTTTCGGTTTGGATCCCTGTCAAAAAGATATAGGATAAAACAGACATCTATCATATTAAGTGACTTCTTAGTTGTGCAAATTGCTAGTAGAATGCTAGCTTCCTAATTCTTCATTCTTTTTGTAATATTTAATAAATACCCCAGAAAATATGTTTTGATAACACAAATATAAGGATATCAATGATTTATTAAAATATTTGCATGTATTGAATAAAAAGGTCAAGTAAATCAGTAATTTACAATAAAGCTTATATATTTTATGGATTAAAAAATGAAATGTATAGTACAGTACTTTATTAAATTTTATAAATCTGCATGATTATCGTTATATAGATAATAAATTTATATCGGACAAAAAATAGCAATTTATACTTTTCTAAAGGAAAAAAATTTGTTTAAAATATAATTTAAAAAATTTTCTTTACACAATATCTACTTTTAAATTAGTAAATGTGATAAAATATATTTAATAAACATTTATTCATCCTCATCATCAAAATCATCTTCGTCATCATCATCCATGTCACCTTCGTCATCATCATCCATATCATCTTCATCCTCCAAATCATCTTTTTCATCGTCAGATTTGCTCAATACTTCGTCATCAAAATCTTCGGTTTCTTCTTCGGAATCATCTATAGAGGCAGCATCTTCTTGGTTCAATTTAAGTTTCTTTTCAGATTTTTTATTATCTATCTTGTTTTTGGGCGAATTTTTATCGGAATTTTTGTTGGTCACTTATGCATAAATATGTGTAAAAAAGGATTTAAACATATGAATAATATAATATATGCCCTAAAATTTAAACCCCATCTAACTAAGACTTATTTACTCCTGCCCTTTTTAACAAAGCTTTAGAATATTATGGATTCTGAAATCTGATTATTTTAAATTTAAAAATGATAGTTGAAAAAGTTTAGAGCTATAATTCTTAAAGCTCATTAATATTTTGGTAAATGAAAGAACAGTGAAACTATCGTTATTAAACTAATGCTATGGGTAGGATAATATAAATTTTATTTTAGTAATAGGAATATTTTTAAAACACTAAAAAGTGAAAATAATATTTTATTTGTAAGATAATTGGTGCCACTAAACTTTGATCTCTATCCTAATAAAAAAAACTAAGTTTATATCTAATGCTTCATCTTTTCATTTATTCAATTAAAGAATTATTGAAGATATTATAGTCGTGTTTGTATCGAATGGAATCGATAAGAGCAATGAACATTTTTTGGATATTAATTGAAACGTGTTAATTTAAATAAATAATTCTTATAACTTTAAATATGTTCACAAAATGCCCAACATCTCGAAAAATATATAAGAACAAAATATCATCATAAACTTTAAGTTAAATTCTTAATTATTGCTCAATAAAATTTCCAAGAGAAATGGAGTAGAGACTAGCAAACCCCAATTTTTTCGACAACCTATAGGAAGAAAAGCTTACCAGATCCAACCCGAAAATAAAATTAATTCCATATTACAGATCTAGCTCAATCATAAAAAATCTACCATAAAATATATATTTTTTAAGTAATAAGCATGGACAAATTTTCAAAAAAATGCATTCGAAATAAATCAATTTTTTTTAACTTAAATAATATTTTAATTATAACCATTTTCTAAAAATTATCGAATAATAGGGTTGTAAGCAGATTGGACAAATATTCAAAAAAATGAATTCGAAATTAATCAATTTTTTTTAATTAAATAATATTTTAATTATAACCATGTTCTAAAAATTATAGATAATATATTTATTGTTGCAGAAGTAGTATATCACATAAGTTATATAATAATTGCAAATATAATTAATATTATCGTTTTACAGAGCATAAAATAAATTGATAGAGAATGAAATCGCTCCATCTATGATTTTGGTTTTATATTTTGAGCAGATACTACTTAGCTTTTAACTATATAGCTAAATATAGAAAATCCTTTTCTACAATTACTACATCTACCGCTCTTTAAAAAAACTTGTATTTTCGTTTTCAGTAAATAAAATAGGATTTAAAATATAAGATGTTAATTTTTTCAATTTGGGTCATAAAACAAAATACTTTTTTATTTTTAAGTATTAAAAATATAAATGTTAAATACTTTCTAAAATATTCAAATACCAAAAACTATTTGGATTTATTATTTTAAATACACGTATAGGCGTTACTGCCTAACCCTGGTCATAAAAAATTTAACTAAAAATAAGCAAAAATACTCCAAACCAGACCCACCCGAGAAACCAAATTTTCTAACCCGATCTAAAATTTATTATAATAATTTTAACCAATTCACTAGTCAAGTTAGCACGGTTTTATGGACCAAAAAACGGTTGTGGTGGATAATTATATTCTTAATCTGTATCAATAAAAACGTTAAAAAATTACGTTTTTCGATCTTCTTAGTGTTGTCATTTGTTTCTAGGTCTTGTTTCTTTGTTAGTCCCTCATTTTTTTCGTGTTGGAGATCAATCTTAGGCTTAGTTAAAGCGTAGGTTACATATGCGGGCATACCATCAACAATTTTGTTGTGGCATTCTCGGAAATCTTTTTCGGCATCTTCTGGATTTGGATAACAGATGAAAGCGAATCTAAAGCCAGAATGAAATGTATTAAAATTAATAAAACTTTTATGAAAATAAAATAATATTGGGAATAATCTTTAAGCTTTAATTATGAAGAATTAAAATAGGTTAGGTATTACTGTACCAAATCAATAAATATTCAGCTCGATATTTTTCTTTTTGACAAAATTTTTTATGCTTATGCTGAGACAACATCAATAGTTCCTGAGATATTAATCGTCAAAAATGCCATAAATGACTTTTTCGAAAAATACGATTTTTTAAAAATGAGATGAGTTAAAAAATAATGACGCTAAGAATAAAATTACATATCAATTTGTAACTCTATTTAAGGTCTTTTAGTAAATATCAGAGACATGCAGGTCCGATCCTAATAATTATTAAAAATAAATATAATATATTTTAAAAAACTCCCAGTCAAGGCCGTGCAAATGGTACATCTGCAGGTCTCTGGTAAATATTAGGGATTTTTTTAAAATATAATGTTTGGGACAGTTGTGGGTTTTTTAGTTATTGCGATTTTATAAAAACAAATGAATTTTTTTCAAAATTAGATAATGATTTCTCAGCATTAATGTAATGAAAATATACTATTTAATTTGGCATAAGCATACTTATCGTTATTACTATTGATAACTTGTAAAAATTAGGTATTTTTATATAAATGATTAAATTTCTTTAAGATAGTTACGATCCCGATATATCTTAAATAAAAATAAAGTAATTAATTGTTGAAAGTCAATCACCCCTGATATTCATTAGCTTTATTTTACAAATATTTCGATATTAATTTTTCTCTTAAAATTATAAGGTATAAATATAGATGCTCAAATCCTTTGAAGGAATCTAAGCACTTTAATTATAAAAAGATTATGCGAAGTTATGAGATGGATGACTGACTCAATTTCCAAACATTGAGACGGAACACTATATTTGAGATAAATGAAGTAAGCGTTAATCATAAAAACTAGAAAATAAAAATTCTGATAGCAAATATGAAAAAAATAATATCATACACATAAATATAATATTTATTAACTTTTGCGCTCATGGATAACTTTTGGAATCATTTTAATTTTTTACCTGATGGTTCGTATTTTATCATTAATTCGCTTTGTTTCATGTGTTATTGTTATAAAAAATCAATTTTTTCGCATTTACGCCAAAATTTTAATTCATATTTCTGGTTATCAAAACTTGCTAAAAATATAAGTAATGATTTTATTATTAATATATATTAATATTTTTATTTAAACATTATCATCTTTTTAATCATTTTAGTTGCTAAAAATTGAACATAATGCCATCAATGATCATTTCTTATGCACAAAAATATTTTTATTAAAAAATAAAATTTTAGGATATTTAGATTAAGGGTTATGGAAACAGAGATGGGGGGGGGCATGGGGCAACTAGATTAGATTTTGATAGTAGTTGCCTATATTATCTAACATCTATTAGTGAGTTTTCTTGGATATAGGGAGAGGTTCTAATTAGATATTTTATATAAGATGTAATATGTGATGCTTTTTTATATCAATATCGGTAACTATATTAGATTTTGATAGTAGTTGCTTATATTATCTAACGTCTATTAGTGAGTTTTCTTGGATATAGGGAGAGGTTCTAATTAGATATTTTATATAAGATGTAATATGTGATGCTTTTTTATATCAATACCAGGAATCCTAACCAAACCTGAAACGTTAAACCGCTAAAAACCGGTATTTTTTATCAAAACTGAACCGAACCTAAAACGCTAAAAAAATTTCTAGCTGAACCGAACCGCTAAAATGCCTCTGAACCGGTTTGAGCCCCATGATTTTATTCTTATAAAATAATATGTAAGCTATTATTAGCAAATTGAAAAAATTTCAATTATATTGAATTATTTTAAAGATTATCATCAATCACATTTGATTAATAAGTGTCGGTCCTAATTTTTATAAACTTTAGTATATTGTCATTTTACAACATTTTTTAAATATTTTAAGCTTATAAATTATAATGCTTAGAGAAAAATTAAATCCAAAATATAATTATAAATGACATATCAAATCTGATATCATATTGGCAGTGTCGGCTACTCAAGTTAGTGTGAAAAGATGTTTTTCAACAATTAAATTTATAATATCTCCTTATAGATGTAATTTGAGTGAGACGAATTTTGAAAATATAATAAATTGTGCGTAATAAAAAAAAATAGGTATAAAAAAGTAAAATATTGTTCATATTAAAATTAATCATTGATATTTATTTTTATATTTATAAATTAAATATTATTTTATAATGTGCAATTAATAAATAAAGGTTTTATACATGTGTTTTTTAAATTAATGATAAAATAAAAAAATATTTTCCCTATACATAATTCGAATGTAGGTTTCAATACAAGTGTTCAAACCGGTTTTTAGAGGTTCGAACCGATATTTTAATTTTTAAAGAACCGAACCTGAACCGATATTTTTATCCGAACCTGAACCCGAACCGATATTCGTTTCGGTTTGAATCCTTGATCAATACCCATTTAGATTCCAGACTCATCCGAGGGTGATATATCTGAGGCTGATATAGAGAGCTCAAAAATAGAAGACAATTTATCCTTCTGGCAGATGATTTGCCGACTATGAACTAGGTCTTGGGAGGATATAATCGAAGATTCTTCTATAACTAAAATAAAAGATAAATAACCCCTTTTGGTCTAAAAAAGACATCGGAAACATGAATACAGAGTTTAACCCTATGTTGGAAATTTATAAATAGGATTCAACTCCTCTACCCTATTTTCGTAAATTTTTCAACCAGATAATTAGCAATTTTATATTGGAAACTAATATTTATTCCTTACAAAGTTGTGGTAAATCTATAAATATAAAGAGCGATGAAATTGACAAATTTGTTGGGATACACCTATATACTAGCTTAGTTAAGATGCCTTCTATACGACAGTTTTGGTCAGTTGCATCTATTCCACAAGTATGTCCAGCAATCGTTTGCTTTTAATTCGGAAATTTCCCCTTACTAATAATAACAAAGATATGGTAATTAGGGAAGATAAAGGATAAAACAATTTATTTAAAATTCAATACTTACTTCATATGCCAACTAGAAAAAATTTTAAAAAAATCCAACTTGAAGAGAAGTTAGCTATAGACGAATTCATAATTCCCTTCAAGGAAGGCTATAAATTATGACCATACATTAAATTGAAGCCCCATGAATGGGGATAAAAGTGTTTGCTCTATGTGGCTCTTACGGGTTTATATATGAATTTGAAATGTATCATGGAAAGTCTACTAATGTCATAATCATGTTTAGGTATTAGTGGGGATATCGTTCTTCATAATGAGGGAATGAGTGGGGTAGATCTTCACGATATGCTGGTGGAGTTATATTTGACAGATATTAAAATGGAAACGATATTATATGAGAATGGTTTTCCATCTATTGGACTCTTGTATAATATAAATGCCTAGCTCCTTTATAACACCATAAAAAAGGAGTAAATAATATAAAATTTATGGCATAGCTGGTATTTAAATTGCAGATACAAAAAAATTGATGTTAGTGGGAAAGAATACTAAAAAGACGGAAGACCTTCCAGCGCATTTGTAAAAAGAAGAAAAGCTATCAATATTGCACCCATATTAGATATAAGATATGACCAAGTAGGTCATTGCCAATGCCCTTAAAAAAGGTGCAAGTATTGCGTAGAAGCCTATTCAAGAACTATTTGCAAAAATGTAATATTTATTTATGCTTAAATAATAAACAATGAACTTGCATTTTGCCCATAGATGACATTTGGAATCATTGAATATCGTATGATAGAAATATTAAAAATAAATTTTTTTTATGAAAATATGTTATGTGTCATCTCTTTAAAAAAAAAACTCCAAATGGAAAAGATTTGGGCATGAAATGGTTAAAGAATAAAATTAGCTTAAAAAAGATTGCAAAAATATACAGAGCTCAGATATAACAATCCAGAAATAAGTATAAAAGACAATAATGATATACTCGATATGAAATCCCAATAGCCTAATTTATATAAAAATATCAATTGCTGATCATTCTACCTCCTAATTGGGTCAATAGAAATGTTTGTAGGCTATTACCAGGGATAAAAGATTTCATAACTATCATTGAAAAAAGTTAGTTCTTTTAATCATTTAAAAGATTTTATGCAGAGTAATTCTAATATAAAATTGGATTTTCAAATTTGCTAGCTTAAAAATATGCATATTAGCAGGAGTTTGCAGAACACATATACATCAGAATATTAAACTTGGAAATTAGCAAGACAGACTAAAAATGATGAGGATGGATTAAAAATTTAGATATTATGGCAGAATGTTTTGCAATCCTCATTACTGATCAGTTATTTTGGTGACTGTATTGAGTATCCTGGCTTAACACTCTAATACATCAAAGAGATTTTTATAAAACATGATATCACCCATTACGTTTAAACAGTGGCGGTAGATAGATCGCTGGAGACAAGGTCTAAATCTTCATAGAAATAAATTAAGTTTTTTAAAATGAATATTCTCATTAGAGATCTGCAAAATTACCCGTTCGGGCAAAAGAAATCAGGTTCGGGCTGGGCCTAATATTTAAAAAAAATTAGGGCCAGGTTGGGCTTTGGAATTTTTTTTAATATATTTAAATTTATGAATTTTTAATGTAAAATAAAAATATTTGATTTTATTTATAGAAATTAGGCGCCATAAAACATATATCATTTATTTTGAGTAATTATAAAAATTAATTTCTATATTAAATAAATTCGGGCCTGGGCTGGGCCGTACTTGAAAAATTAGGCCTGATGCAGATCATTAGTTCTCATATGCCATTCATTTATTTGCGAACAACAGTTGATTTCATAATAACCTTAAAAATAGTTTAGAAAATCACAATTTGATTATTTGTGGCTTTTCAGAAAATTATTTCTTTATTGTCCAAGAGGAAGTTTAGAGTTATGATTAGACAACTTCATAAGCTACATTGAACCCATTATCAATTTGTTTATAGGAGATCAAATAAAAAACCTATGAAACTTTGTGGTAATATCGGAATCTTTAATTATGCTCATTCCATTTATTCCAATTGCATTTGATTCGTTTGTTAAAAAAATTTGACACTCCACCAGAAAAAAATTAATACTTTTCTTATGGTTCTGCAGCATAATACAATAGGAAAACTTTATCAACGTTTGTTACCATGAAATCGATTTTGATGTTCAAGCAAAATGGTTTTATGCTATGACACATGGTAAAAGGGCCTGCAATGGCATAGGCGGCACAGTAAAGAGGTTAGCCAGATAAAGCTTACAAAAGGCCTAAATAAGATCTCATAATTACACTTTTACAATTTTAAAAATATGCGAAGGAGCAAAAATAAATTTTTCTTATGCCACCATATTAGAGTATGAGGCAGAAGTTATAAGACTAAGTGAGATTTAGTAAATCTATCTAAATACCTGGTTAACAAAAAATTATAAAAGCTCAATACTAAAATATATTCAAATTCGCAGATATTTATTGTGGAGAATAAAATAAATCCATGTGAGGAAATGGATGTAAATAATAGATGAAATGAAAATAAATTTCCTTCATCCTAAAGGACCAGAAATATCTTTTGTTTATCCAGCGACACCAGATCTCCTTTTCCTACCAAAAAATAATATTTTAAAAATAAAACGAAATTATCAAGGAATCAAAAAAGTTAATTTATGTTCCTGTATATTTTTTCAAATAGTAATAACTAAAAAACCCATGGCTATCCCAAGCTTAAATTTATTAGAAATAGAGATAATGTAAGTAAATAATAAGGTATAAATTCAAATAAATTCTGAAAGTCAAACACCTGGAGCTTTCAGATTCAAAATTAATAAAGTAAATAAAATCCGAGCAAATATTCTTTAAAAAATCAAATATTTGCTAAAGAATAGAATTATAAAATGACATATAATTTTTATTTATAACTTCAATATTTTTTATTGAACTCAATTTTTACATGTTTGAAAAAGTCATTTTGGGCACTTTTAACCATCGATATCTCAAGAATTATGAGTACTAAGAGGCTAAAATTTTTGATGTTTTCTAATGTCTCCCCGTATGCAAAATTTATTCAAAATTGAAAAGGAAGTTATCAATTTGGTAGGAATAACTTCTTTTATTAGTATTTTAAATATATTAAAATGTTTTTTAGTGTTATTATTTTCTACTAGGTATGGTTATATAAATTAGAAGTATATATTTATAAAATTAACTTAAAGCTCCCTTTTCCTTTATCGAATTTTAGAAGCTTTATACTGGAAGAATTTGCAAATACCTTTTTCAGAATTTCTTTAGTTGTGTCCTTACCAAACCCAGTAACATATAAAGTCTTTGAATCATATGGTCCTTAAATATTTATGATTTATTATATAGTGATAGTAATAAATATATATTTTCATGCATTGGTCACATATGGAGGTTGGTGCACAATAAAGAAAATTTTGTAAAATCATATGGTAAAATTTATAGACTAATTAATATAGATGTCCATTACACTCTGTTAAAATCTCGAATTAAAGGGTACTTTTAAGTTTGAGAAATCTATTATAATATCTAATTATAAAAACCGTATAGCAATCGTGTAGGTCTGTGCTGAAATTAAATATAGGATCGGAGTGATATTTACCTTTAAAAAACGGATATGACAGTTATTATGAAAAAACCCAATTCAAGACAATCATTGTTTTCGGTTAGTTTATTACCGTTATAATATTTTTTATTATATACATAATAAATGGATAAAAAAAGAGCAAAAATTAATTTATTTCTAATGTTTAAAAAAATAGAATCATTTTTAAAAAAGTGCTATTTTTTAAAATATTATTTGAATCATAAAAAGGATTTTAAAATATTTAGCGATTCACATATAGTCATAAGCATTGCTAATATTTAGAGTATTAACCTTTTGTGAATAAAAAATAAAATACACTTAATCAATCGTGAATGAAAAAATATCGCATTAGTCATGAGAAACGGAAAATTTCAAGGTGTTTCTTGTTTTGCCCATATTTAAAGGTTATTTTGGGCATATAAAATATTGATTTTTATGAAATAGGTTATAGATGGTAAATAAAAATCAATCTAAATATCGAATTGGTATGGGGTGGATTTTGTACAAATATCAGATTGGAAAAAAATATGTGGAATGGGCACAGCCGTACTATCTTGTTTATCCCGTTAAATAAATAATTAATAAGATTACTTGAGTGATATGGTTTATCGAGTGGAACGTTCCTCTCACTTTTATCCCCACAATAATCAAAGGTAACATCTTTAGTGCCTAATTTTTTGTTTTTTAGCCCTTTAATAGCTTTCTCGCAAATTTTCTCAGTCCCGAATTCGAGAAAGGCTCTCCTTTTATTATAAATGATTAATGTATATCAGGAATGCATCATACTGATACTTGGTATCAGTGATACATTAAATTCTAACAGACACCAGTGGCCGATCTCAAAGATAATATTAAACCAAGAATATTAATAAAAGTCATACAAACATTTCTAAATCAATAAAAAAGGTTTTATTGAAATATTGTTTTTGTATCCACCAATACCAAGTTAAAATTAATCAAAAAGGCTGTATCAGTGGTCCATCTTGATGTATATAAAATTCTTTTTCTTATGTAGTACCAAGATTTTTAGGATATGCACAAGCCATAAAAACCCATAAAATTTAGGACTTTCACCTTTTTAAGCAAAAAATACAAAATTATAGGTAACTTCACAAACCCCAATTATAATTTGTAATCTATTGCAAATATTATTCATTACAGTATAAACCTGCGAGCACATTTTATAATGGTAATCTCAATTTTGTCATAAAAATATTAGAATTTATGTTTTAACGTTTCCACTTTTAGGCAGAGCCATGCCGATAACAATTTTTTTTAATTTGATTATAAAAACATCGATCCGATATTATTATTGTTTATTTTATCAGTGTATTATAATTGTATATTTTTTATTTTAAATAATTTTTTAATAATAAATAAAAGGAACCAAAATTCAATTTATTTATATTTTTTAAAAAAAATCTAATTATTTTTAAAAGAGAAGATACTAAATTTGATATTTGAAATCAAAAAGAAATTCCCATATAACTTGAAAGAAAGAATATTTCTTGTATTATTTCAATATAAAATTTTGATATAGTATTGGTTTAAAGATAGATGACAAATAAAAATCAACTTAAATATCGGATAGATGAAAAATTTGTGGATCGGTACACACAGCCCTACTTTTTAAGATTTTATAGCCCATTCCCTTGAGAAATATTGTATAAGCTCAAGCTAAATATATTGTATTCTACAAATGTGTAAAAGTTAGAAAACTTTTGGCGTCTATTGAATTGCACGTGGGAGATATCAGGATGCAACTTCATAAAATCTTCCGTCGACACATTGTCTCGAATATCGAATCCTTTCACATAGAGAGTTTTTTTGTTCTTCTCAGCTATTTATATAAATACATATATTTATTTTTTTATTTTAAGTAGTATAGCAAAAATTTAGGACTTGTTGGATCAAAAATAATTTTTTTAAAAAAATTTCAAAAACATAATAAAAACCTATATTAATTAAATCCTACATTCTAAGTTTTGTATCAAGTATATATAAATGCTACATTCTAAGTTATGTTTCAATTATATATTATTATAAACTATTATAATATGCTATATAATGAAGTAAAAATTTGTTTACTAATTCTTTCCATAACCATGGCCAACACGTCTTCAGGGAGTAGACTGGTTTCTGTTACTAAATATATCATGAGAAAAAAAATGTTATATATATTAAAACAGATTTTCTTTTTTATAACAATTAAACTTAATTTTAAGTCAAATTGAATCTTAAAAATATTTTCAGCTCTTTTTAGAAATGAGAGTAAGTTAATTTTAAGTGTTGCTGCTTATTTTTTTAAATAAAAATTGGATCTGTTATCCTTCCAAAAATATGCCTAGGCCCAGCCCAGATTTATTTTTAAAATTTTTTCCAGCCTGGTCAGGGGTTTTTTTTAAAAAAAATTTTCTGCCCAGCCCCAATTTTTTTAAAATATATTTTATTTAATTTTTGATTTTTATAGCTAATAATGGCGATTTCAAATATTTGGTTTTAAAATATACGGCCCGGGTACCCTGGGCAGGGAAAATTTTAGCCAAATCTTAATTAAATGACTTAATGTTTTCTCTCTTACCATATTTTAACTAAAATTTAAATGACCCAATTCTTCACATAAAATAATGTTTGATATATAAAAAATTTAAATGTAAGCAACCTTTGGCAGGTGTAGTTTTTTTATTCTTATTTTTCTTCTTCTTCTTTTTTTCTTATCCTTTTCATTTTGTTTAGCAGTGTCTTTATTATCAATTTCAGTCTTTTTTTTATTTTCATTCGGTTTTTGCTTTTTAGACATATCTTCCTTTTTCGGGATAACTGATGTAATATCTTTGGAGAAAGCATTAAAAATATATAGTTACTAATATTTTATAAGAAAATGTTTCTATTCAGATATTATTTTAGAAAAAAGTAATAATAAAGCCATATAATGGGTGCTTACAAAAAATACGTTATTACTGTACACCAGTAGTAAGATAAAGTAAGGAGTTATTTTTTCGTTACTCTTTACTTTATATTAGCTTTTAACCATTTTTTATTTTAAGTTAAGGTTTATTACAGCATATTTATTAATTCGTTAGTAAATAAAATTATTTAATTTGTAAAATGGATAAGAATATATAAATGTTATTGTAACAATTTTTTGCAAATAAAATTATTTTATTCAAATAAATAAAAAATATAGAAAGTTTTCCATCAAATCTGCACAATGTATATATTTTTATAAGATTATATAAATAAAAAATAGTTGTAGAGATCTGCAAAGTTAGGCCGGGCTCAGGCCTAATTCTATTTAAAATAATCGGGTTCGGGCCGGGCCTAATATTTTTTTAAAAAATTCGAGCCGGGTCGTGTCGGACCTTGGAATTTTTTTTAAATATATCTAAATTTATCAATTTTATATTGAATTTTTTATGTAAAATAAAAATATTTGATTTTATTTATTGAAATTAAACGACATATAACATATGTCTTTTGAGTAATTATAAAAATTAATTTCTATATTTAAATAAATTCGGGCCGGGTCGGATGAGTAAATTTTTTTAAAAAAATTTCGGGTTCGGGCCAGGCCGGCAAAACTTTTTTTAAAAAATTTCAGGCCAGGCCGGGCTTGAAAAATTAGGCCCGATGCAGATCACTAGTTGAAACCATATACAGTGTTGGAAAAAAAACCCGATTCAATTTATCTTACTTTTTTAAATTTAACTTTCAATATATATTCTAATTTTAACCTTTTAATAAAAATTGTCCTATAAATTCATTATTCTCATTTCTTTTTTTAATTTATAAATAATTAAACTTTTGTTTTCATTCATTTAATAGGTTTCTTAGGTGAGATTTAATTTAATTGTTTTTGATATATATTTCATATATATTTGTAGTAGATATTTCATATATGTTGGTATATTATATATATATTTATCAATATTATTATTATTAAATGATAAATGTCAATCAATTATTAATATATATTTAGAAACATAAAAAATATTGATTTTTGTTTATATTGATTGATAAAGAATTAACGCGGATGAATATATGAATTGTAAAACAAAGAAAAGAATTTTTATGGACATTTTTTTAATTATTATGATTTTTATGATTGTTTTATAAAAATATTGGAATTAATTTTAAAAAAAATTATAAAATAAAGAAATGTTAAATAGTAGTAAAATGTTCAAAATTCTAACCATTAATATTAAGTTATAATAATAATCTGTGAGATTATTGAGAAATTATAAGTTATAATCATAATCGGTGAGATTATTGAGAAACAATATTATAAATTATTGAGTGTTATTTTATTGGTGCAGTGGTACCAGGATTCGTTAACTCTTATTAGGGTGATTTTGTTAAGAAAATTTCAGAATTTATTAATCAAGAAAAAGATTTTCGAGGACCGGGTTCCTAAAAACATTAGTGGATTCCGGATATTTAAAGGTAAGAAATTTATTTTTATATTATAAATTACACAACGCAATAGTAGGATTTTTGGATTAAAATTAGAAATATATAAGATAAAATTTTAAATTTTGGATAATTAATGAAATTATGGCTTTTTCTTTTGTTACTGTTCATCGTAAGCTTGATTTTGATAAAATGCAGAATTATAAGGATCATTTTAATAAAATATTTAATTCAAGTTTAATAAAGTGGATGTAACTAATAATATCATTACTGCAATAATTTTTTTTGTGTTTTATGTAACTTTGATTATAATGAAACATGCAATTAAGAAAATAAAAAGAAGATCTATTAAAAATAAAGAAAATGATATAAAAAATACTAATACTGAAAATTTAATTTCTGAAATTTTGGTGAAATCTCCAGATATTTCTGAGGATATCCAAAATAGCTTACATTTAATTTTGTTAGAATTAAAAAAATTAAATGATAAAAAGAATATTATGCCAGAGGAAAAATCCGAGGAAATATTAGATACTGGTGAAGTATTTAATTTTCCTCAGAATAATAATATATCAGAGGATATCAATAAAAAATTAAATTCAATATTGATTGAATTTAAAAAACAAATTTCAGAGGTTTTAATTGAGAAACCTGTAGAAATTGTAAAAAATTATAATAAAAATAGTACTTTGAGACAAAGTACGGAAGAATCTCTAATTTTATGTGAAATTAGAGAAATGAGAGAAAACATGAAAGTTTTGTCCAGAGATGTGTCCAACTTAAAAATTAAAAATAATAATTTAATTGAAAGCTGTGAACTCTGTGGAAGAAGAGGATATATCGGTAAAAATTGTTATTCAAGAGACCGAAAAATGAATGAGAATGGTAATGCAAAACCAAGTGAAAAAAATGGCATTGTGTGTCATAGATGTGGTTTTGTAGGACATATTAAACGAAATTGCATGGTTAAAGAAGCAAATTTTAAAAGTGGTTTTCCGCAAAGAACTTCGGCAGTGATTAATTCGGTGGTTAGAAGTATACAAAATCCGTCGATTAAAAATGTGGATAAAATTGAAAATAACAATACAGATCATGACAGAATGTGTTTCCGATGTGAAGAAATGGGACACATTGCTATCAATTGTATTCAAAGTGTGAGTGGATTACAGTGACTATATGATTTTAAAGAGAATCATATTAAAATAGATAAATAAATTTTAGAGAGTATTAAAATTTGTGATATATATAATTTTATTAAAAATTTTGTGGATATATATATTAAAATAGAAAATCATCATGGGAATGAAGTAGGGCTGTGCCGATATTAAATATCGGATCGGATCAGTCCCGATATTTGGCGTTTTTCAAAAATATCGGATCGGCCCGATACCTGTAAAACCCCATCCGATCCGATCCTTTTACTAAAAATGCAATTCTTATAAAACTTTTGAGTAATGAAACTTTGAATTATTATTTTTTAATAAAAAAAATTTTTTTTAAAATATTTTAAAAAAAAATAAATTTTTTCGAGTTTCTATTTTACATTAATAATATTTTATAAATAATTTTTTTTTAAACAATGCAAATGTTATTTATTTTTTTAAATAGATTTTACAAGTTTTTTTATAAAAATAGAAAGGAACACCCAAAGTTTTATTTATTTTTAATTTTTTAAAAAAATAACACCAATTTTATTATTTATACTTTAAATAAAAATTATTTTAAATATGGTTTTTGAATTATGGAAATATTTTGATAAAGATGAAGGTAATTTTGCAAAATGCGTCATCTGCGGAATTCTAATTTCACAGGGAGGAATACTGAAAAATTCGTTCAATACAACTAACATTAGGAAACATCTGAAGCGTTGCCATCAAAAGGAATTCGAAGAGCTAACACAAAAAGAACGAGAAATATTAGAAAAAACAAATCAAATTTTTAAAAAAAAGAGCCCTGAAAGTCAGCCAACAATATCAGCCATTCTTAATAAAACTAATATTTGGAAACATTCTGATCCTAAATCAATAATAATTTCTAAATTTATAGGGGAAATGATAACGTGTGACCACCAGCCGATTTCTATCTTGGAGGATATAGGCTTTAAAAGGCTTTTACATCATTTATGTCCAAATTACAAAATTCCCAATAGAAAGTATTTTTCGCATGGAGTTATTCCGGATATATATGAAAAACTCTCCGAAAAAATTCGTAAAGAAATTTTGGTTGACGATTCTTTTTTATCCTTTACGGTAAATATATGGACTAGAAGTTCAGGTGGCGATTCTCACATCTCATTAACATGCCACTATATAAACCAAAATTTTCAACAAATTAATAGAGTTCTAAATGTTAAAACATTTAATGAGTCGCATACAGCAATAAATATTGCTCAAATTTTAGATGAAATTATTAATTATTGGGGTATAAAGAAAAATAAAATACACCTAATCATTAGAGATAATGCACCCAATATAACTTTGGCCATGAAAAATGGGAAATTTCAAAGCGTTTCGTGTTTTGCACATAGTTTGCAATTGGTTGCACAGGCAGCAATTTTATCAGAGATCTATTATTGACATGCTTGCCCGGGTTAGAAAAATAGTAGGAAACTTTAAACATTCTTCTATTGCACAAAATTATCTAAAAGAAATCCAAATTCGATTAAGTCTAGCCCAGCACAAATTAATCCAGGATGTGCCCACCCGTTGGGATTCTACCTATTATATGCTCGAAAGATTGATAGAACAAAAAAGGGCGGTACAGCTGTTCATTATCGATAATCCTAATTTGGGAAATCTCTCATTATATGAGTGGGAATTAGCAGAAAGGGTAATTGATGTTCTTGAACCAATTCAGAGAGTAACAAAAGAAATAAGTACGGAATCATGTTCAATTAGCAATGTTATACCCTTTGTTGAAATTCTGAAAAGTGAATTAACAATTAATGGGGACACAGATAGAGGTGTGCAGACTATGAAGAATACCACTAATAATCAATTAACAACTCGGTTTTTTGATATTTATGATGATGACAATTATGTTGTCGCAACATTACTTGATCCTCGATATAAGGATTTCTTTTTGCCAAAAAACATATCATACATAGAAAAGCTCAGGACTGCATGTGAGTCTTTTTTAAAGGTGATGATAATGTTCAACTTCCAATTTCTAATAAAGATTCGTCAGGTTTTATATTTTTTAAAATAAATTTAGATTTTATTGTTAACTTAGGTAATGACAATGAAAAAAATGTTCCACATAACATTAAAAAATGCAAATTTAATTTAAGGGATGCTTATAAATTGAAAATAAAAGAAAAACTAGTAATAAATGAAATCGATAGTAATGTAAATGATGACCTGCCATACCTAATACAAGGAAAAAGAATCTTTATATATAGAAAGTATAACAACAAATTTTTCATATTAATTTAAATATTGCTTGGTTGGACTATGATTGACCCTGTTTGGGTGATTTTTCAAAATCAACAAAAGATTGGGTTTGTATGAAACCCACTATTTTATAAATGCTAATTTTATATTTGTGTTATTTATTTAGAAAACTCGAATAACATTGATGATATTGATATTATATCCCCAGTGAATCCACTTGAATATTGAAGAGTTAATGCTGTAAAATATCCAACTTTATCAACACTTGCACGTTAATTTTTGGCTCCTCCAGCAACAAGTGTCCCATCTGAGTCTGCCTTCAGTACGGCAGGGGATATTGATAGTCCTCATCGTAGAAGCCTATTGCCTGAAAATCTAGAGGCTCTTATATTTATTTTAAAAAATCTAATATATTATAATTTTATATATTAAATATTACAATTTTATAAACCAACATAAAATGGATATATTATTATATATTTTTTTTAAATTATTGTTGAAATAAAAAAATTAAATTATGCATAATTCTTTTATGCATAAAAAATATTGATTTATTAATTACATTTGGTTCAAAGAGGGGTGGTGAAAAATTAATATAAATATCGGATCGGTATCGGATCGGTTTTGAACCAATATCGGAAAATATCGGATCGGATCGGTGAAAAATATGTGGATCGGCACAGCCCTAGAATGAAGATTATACATTGAAATTTAACTCGAATAAAAAGAGTTGTAATGTTGGAAATTTTTATTGTCATTTTGATGAAATAAAAAATTTTAAATTAAACAGTAATCTGAATAAAAAGGATTATTGTAATCAAATGAGTGATATATATCCAGGGAAAATTTTAAATAATAAAAGAAATTCAGAGACCTTTAAATTCTCAGATGAATTTAGGTATGAATATTAATTATATTGACAATGGGATTAAAATAAATGTCATTCAACTCATTAAAATGCCTAAAAATTTAATAACTGAGGGAGCAAAGGAACAGAGTTCATGTCCTCATATTAATTTAAAATTTGGTGGACAAATGGTTGAAATGTTATTTGATACCGGGGCAAGTATTTCAATAATGTCTAGTGAAAATTTTTATAAATATTGGCCGAATGGTATTGTTGAGACAAAATATGTGTATTAAACAATTTGATGGATCTGAAATCAAAGTTTTAGGTAAAACTCAGTGGGATGTTATTTTCCATGATATTCCTATAATTTTAGATTTATGGATAGTGAATAAAAATGTTGAAACAATTATGGGTTGGGATTGGATTACCAAATTGGGACCTCGAAATAATTATTGGAATTTGTTATCATTGGTAGCGAATTGGCTAAAGAAAATGCCGAAAGAAAAATAATGGCTAATGAAGTCAGAGAAAAACTTAAAGAAAGAGAAATGAATAAATTAATGAGTGAAATGAAAGAATCTATAGTTAATAATAATATTTGTGAATATCATGCGAAAACCATGATGTATTCAAATCCATCTGAAATCTATAGTGAAATTGATAATGATAAAAAAATTAATAATGAAATTAATGAATTTAATAGAGTTAAAAATGCTATACTTATTTTAGTGGAAAAATATGGTATAATTTTTGAAGACACTTTGGGATGTCTAAATGATTATCAAATGGATTTAAAATTAAAAGAGGGATTTTCACCTATTTTCTTAGGGTGTCGTAGAGTTCCTTTTGAGTGGAAAAAGGAAATCAACGAAGAATTAGATAAATGGGTTAATGATGGTATTATTATTCCTGTGGAATATAGTGAATGGGCTACTCCATTAGTACCTGTTAAAAAATCTAACGGAAAACTTAGATTATGTGCAGATTTTAGAGTAACACTTAACAAATGGGTTGTGGAAGTGAAATATCCATTGCCGCGAATTGAAGAAATTTTGGCAAATTTAAAGGGGGCCAAATATTTTTCAAAGGTTGACTTTTCATCAGCTTATTTACAATTGCCTTTGATAGAAGAAATTCGTAAATTGATGACAATAACGACGCCTAAAGGATTATTTGCATTTTGTAGATTACCTTTTGGGTTAAGTGTATCTGCACAGATTTTTCAGAGAACAATGGCATCAGTTTTCCAGGGTTTGGAAGGTGTATTTTATTATATGGATGTGTTGATAACTGGAGTGACCCCAGAACAACATAATCAACGTCTGGAAGAGGTTTTCAAGAGAATTAAAGATAAAGGTTTAAAAGCCAGTAAAGAGAAAAGTATTCTTGGTGTCACCGAAATAGTGTATTTGGGTCATCAGATTAATGGAATTGAAGTGAAACCTCTCGATAAAAATTTAAAAAATATTTTGAACATAAATCAGCCTAGTAATAAAGCTGAGGTACAGTCTTTTATGGGCATGATAAATTATTATCATAGATTTGTGGATAATTTTGCAAAAATTGCAGCTCCACTATATGATTTATTAAAAAAGGCGTCAATTTTGAGTGGAAAATTGAACAAAAAAACGCTTTTGAACATGAGAAAAATTGGTGAGGAACCAATTTTAGTGTGTTTTAATAATGACTTGGAGATAATTCTTGCTGTTGATGCGTCAAATAAAGGTGTAGGAGGTGCATTATTACATGTCATTGATAGTTTAGAGAGACCTATTATTTTTTTTTCGAGAATATTTCATGAAGTTGAAACGAGGTACTCTGTTATAGAACAGGAGGCAATAAAATATATCTAAATTATTTGGTATTTCTTTTTTTAATAAATTCTAGGTATTTCTTTATTGTATAAAATTAAGTATTATAATCATAAATTTCATAATTCAATTAATAATAATAATCTCACCGATTATGATTATAACTTATAATTTCTCAATAATCTCACAGATTATTATTATAACTTAATATTAATGGTTAGAATTTTGAACATTTTACTACTATTTAACATTTCTTTATTTTATAATTTTTTTTTAAATTAATTCCAATATTTTTATAAAACAAACATAAAAATCATAATCATTAAAAAAAATGTCCATAAAAATTCTTTTCTTTGTTTTACAATTCATATATTCATCCGCGTTAATTCTTTATCAATCAATATAAACAAAAATCAATATTTTTTATGTTTCTAAATATATATTAATAATTGATTGACATTTATCATTTAATAATAATAATATTGATAAATATATATATAATATACCAACATATATGAAATATCTACTACAAATATATATGAAATATATATCACGACCGCCCTAAAAAACCAAGACGGAATAATTAAAAAAAATATGTGAACTTGAAATTTCTATATTTATTTATTATCTTTGTCCTCTTTCAACATCTCGTTTTCTTCAGTCTCCATACGAGTATATTTCTTTTGTAAACCCATATTGTCCTTCATTTTAATCACTGTCGAACTCATTTTGGTAGCCTTGTCACTGGTATTTTGCGTCTTAGCATAATATTTGAATTTATTCTCCATCAATGTATTTGATTCTCTCAAGTTTTTAACTTGTATTTTTGTCAATCTTTTCCCTATTCCATCATAATTGGTCGGTGGCCACGGTCGATTTCCATACTGTTGATTATAAGATTCAATTTCGTTTCTTTTATTATAGTTTACATATCTATCCCCAGATAGTACATTTTTAGTTTTTCCACAGAAATAACTGGTTGTAGGAACTTCCTACCAAATGTCGCGAATATTTGATCGGTAAGAGATTTGTGATTTATACCGATCATAAACCATAAATTCATTTGTTTAAAAAAGATAACAAGGAATTAATGATGTCCCCAAGATTACAACGGTGGTTGTTACTTGTGGGAAGTTTTAATGTGGAAATAAAATATCGGCGAGGAAGAGAAAATCATTTGCCTGATATATTATCAAGATTAGGAGCAGGTTGTGCGACTCCTGAAATAATTGATAATATGATTATAGATAGAGAGGATGCTTTAGTGCGTACTTTATTATATATGTTAAAAGGAGGTCCTACAACGTGGGAAGATCTCAAATATTATACTTTAAAAGATAAAGTATCAAGACAAATAAAATTTTTTAACGGGGAAAAAACCTTGGAAAAATAATTATAAAATTTATCAAAAATTTGAAAAAGAATTATCTGTGGTGGATGATTGTTTAATGAGGGGAAATAGGGCAGTAATTCCTTTGAAATTACGTGCTAAAATAATTAATTTATTACATGCAGGACATCAGGGTCAAAGTAAAATGAAATCTTGGGCTCGTGAATATGTGTGGTGGCCTGGAATGGGTAATGATATTGAAAAAATTACAAAGGAATGTGTTCCATGTAATACATGTGCCGTTATGCCCCGAAAAGAGATGGGACAAGTATGGCCAAAGTCAAAGAAACCATGGAACCGTCTCCACATAGATTTTTTTGAATTGGATAAAAAATCATATTTTTTAGTAGTGGATTCATATTCCAAATGGATTGAATTTGAGAGGTTCAGGGGTTAACAACTAAAGTTGTTATTAAATTATTACAAAAATTGTGGGCTAAGTTTGGTATTCCTAAAATAATTGTATCGGATGGAGGTCCGGCTTTTATAAGTGAGAATTTTAAACAATTTTGTAATTCGATAAAAATTAACCATATTTTAACTCCACCTTATCATCCTAGCTCTAATGGCCAGGCTGAAAGAATGGTAGCCATAGTGAAAAATTGGTTAAAGAAATCTAAACAAAAAATGAAGTCTGGTTAGCCCAGTTATATTATAATAATTCAAGAAATAAAGAGGGAGTTACTCCTGTCGAATTATATTTGGGTAGAAGAACCAGATTACCTTTAGATTTTCTTAAATCAAGAGATTGATAATTTAGAATCTTATGGAAAAAGCAATATAAAATTCCCTGTGGGTCAAATTATTTGGGGAAGACTTTTTGACCATAAAAAAATGGGAAAAAGGTATTGTTTTGGATAATATTGGGAATAAATTGTGTAATATAAAATTTGATGATGGTACTGTGGGAGTACGTCATAATGATTTTATTAAGGTATATAATTAAAAAAAAAAAAAATTTGTCCATAAAGACCGGAAACAAAGTTCCTATAAATCTTTAGGACAAACTTACTTTGTACTTAAACAATTTAGGGTTAAATTTATACAATTAAGTATCAATGAGAAATATAAATTAAATAATTAAAAATATATGTATAGCAAAAAGGTGAATAAACTGAGAAGAAATTAATAAAAAAAAATACTTATCATTTTAGATAAGAGTGAATAATAAAAAAAAATTGAACATGCAGATTTATGGGGAAATCTACTCTAGGGATATATGTTTCATTTTATAAAAAAAATATTATATCACGTGATTCTATGATATTGGTCTCAGATCTTATAAATTCACTAAAGTATAAACTTGTGAAGAAATAAATAAGTATATGGAGATAAAGAGGATTAAGATTAATATGTTTTATGTGTTTATAAGGAAAGTCAAATTTTATTTATTTTTTTGAAAAAAAGGGGAAGAAAAACATAAGGTTGTTTTTAAGTTAAGACTAATATGTTTTATGTGGTTTTAAGAGAAATGAAATTTTATTTATATTAAAAAAAAAGGAGAGAAAGACTTAAATGTGTTTTCATTTTTATTGCGTTGGACAAGCAAAAAAAAGTATTTATTTTATTTAATTAAAAAAAATAATATGGGTATTCATGATTATAATTATGAGGGAAGAATTTATTTTTGTTGTTAAAAAAAAAGAGATACCATATGATAAAAAAATTTTAATTATTAATTATATTTTTTTTTAAGAAAATAAAGTTAAAATTTTTTTTATTTAAAAAGAAAAATTATAAAAAAAAATGAACTATAAATTGGACACAGAGGACCACATAATATATTTGAAAATTGTAAAAAGGAGAAAAATATCTATTAAGAAGCCCAGTGTGGACAGCTATAAGCGTTGCTTTAGATGCCGAAGTTTTGGACACTCAATTAAAAATTGTATGATACCAACTAAGGTATTGATGAACCAAGAGTGTAATGATTATATGAGTGACTCGGAGGAAATTCCTACAACTAGTTATTTCTGTGGAAAAACTAAAAATGTACTATCTGGGGATAGATATGTAAACTATAATAAAAGAAACGAAATTGAATCTTATAATCAACAGTATGGAAATCGACCATGGCCACCGACCAATTATGATGGAATAGGGAAAAAATTGACAGAAATACAAGCTAAAAACCTGAGAGAATCAAATACATTGATAGAGAATAAATTCAAATATTATGCTAAGACGCCAACTATCAGTGACAAGCAACAGTATGGAAATCGACCGTGGCCACCGACCAATTATGATGGAATAGGGAAAAAATTGACAGAAATACAAGCTAAAAACCTGAGAGAATCAAATACATTGATAGAGAATAAATTCAAATATTATGCTAAGACGCCAACTATCAGTGACAAGGCTACCAAAATGAGTTCGACAGTGATTAAAATGAACGACAATATGGGTTTACAAAAGAAATATACTCGTATGGAGACTGAAGAAAACGAGATGCTGAAAGAGGACAAAGATAATGAATAAATATAGAAATTTCAAATTCACATATTTTTTTTAATTATTCCGTCTTGGTTTTTTTAGGGCGGTCGTGATATATATTTCATATATATTTGTAGTAGATATTTCATATATGTTGGTATATTATATATATATATTTATCAATATTATTATTATTAAATGATAAATGTCAATCAATTATTAATATATATTTAGAAACATAAAAAATATTGATTTTTGTTTATATTGATTGATAAAGAATTAACGCGGATGAATATATGAATTGTAAAACAAAGAAAAGAATTTTTATGGACATTTTTTTAATTATTATGATTTTTATGATTGTTTTATAAAAATATTGGAATTAATTTTAAAAAAAATTATAAAATAAAGAAATGTTAAATAGTAGTAAAATGTTCAAAATTCTAACCATTAATATTAAGTTATAATAATCTGTGAGATTATTGAGAAATTATAAGTTATAATCATAATCGGTGAGATTATTGAGAAACAATATTATAAATTATTGAGTGTTATTTTAGTTTTCATAAAAATTATTTTGCTCTTATTCTATCAATTTAGTTATTATTTAATAATAATATTGTTTCATCATCCAAATACCTATAGTGAATTCAAACTCACTAAAAAACAAGTTTTGGAAAAATCTTATTTTTGAGTAAATCTTTAAAGATTTTTTATCAAAAAACCTCAAAATTTAGTAAATCTTTTGTAAATTTCATGCATAACAAACCTTTCTGCAGTTTATCAGCAAAATTTCTGGACTTACACAATATTATTTTGTCTAAAATCTTAATCGGGCCGTTTAACAACATTACATCTAGGTTTACCTGGATATAATAAAAGAATCACTTGAAATGAATTATTATTTTTTTAAGTTTGATTATACAATCTCTTTTGGATAAATAGGCGATGAAAAAAGAAATTATTGACCTTTATTTTTTTTCGTACTTTGACGCTAAATATTTTACTTATTGAAAATTGTAAATTGATTGATAAATTTAGTCATTTGGAATAAAATTAAAACAAAATGATTTCTTAACAGTCTCATACAAACCCACTCATATAGTGATGCAGCCTCATTCCGTTCCCTTTTTAAAATTAAATTAGAATGAAAGCTAACCTACACTATGGTGAAGAGAAATCCTCCTTATCTCAAGATATAAATGAAAAGCCACGGTCTCAGTTTTGAAATATTGGAAATACTTGCATAATAAAGGTAACAGAATTTAGAGACATGACTAATGACTAATATTTTGACAAACCCAAGTCTCTCAGCACACATACCCAAAATTTTTAGACCATCGAACTTAGTCAATCCCTCTCCCCCCCCCTCCAATCGAACAACCCCTTACTCGGTCCCGAATATATAATTACCTTTTCCATTCATATTTGTAATTTTTTTAAGTAATAAATGACCAATAAGTTTATATCAAAAATAGATTTTATCATTGTATTTCTAGCACATAGGTATACCTAAAATTGATATCTTTTTTGAAATTATGCTATTTAAATGATAAATCCGTTCAAACAAGATAATAATTTTTATTAGGAAGTTTGATAAAATAATTTTTTAATATATATCATAATTTACAGTTATTTAACATTATATGAATTTTTTTTAATGACATTGGTTCAAAGATATGTTAAATATCGGCACAGACCTAATATTTAACATTCTTAAAATAATACATTTAAGAATACTGTATTTAACCAATTTGCATTCAACAGTTTCAACGTAAAATAGTTCTCAAAACAAATGATATGTATAACTTTTTAAAATCCTAATTCGTCTGTTATATTTTCATAAGTCTATTGAATATCATTTATTAAATCAGAAATTTGCGGCCCGGCTCAGCCATTTTAAAAAAAATTTTCAGGCCCGGCCCAGGTAAATTTTAAAATTACGGCCCGGCCCTGGTACTCGGACCTGCAGGTCTCTGATTTAGAAAAAATTCATTCACAAGTTGCTTAATCATTTTGAGTATAACACCTACTTTAAAAATATTCATTTAAAAAAAGACTATGGATATTAAATAATCGGAACCAGCTATTTTAAAATATCTTTAAAAAAAATTAATTTTTTTAAAAAATAACATAAAAAAGGATTGATTCATTTTTTATATTTTTTATTTATTTTTATATTGAATTTGTTTAAATTATTATTTTATATTATTTATGCATTTACTATACCCATGCTATAAATGGAAAAAAACACAAATTTAGAATTTGTAAATAAATTATACCACTCATAAATATTTTTTAATAATATTTTATTATTTTGTTTTTAAATTTTATTTGTACATGTTATTTTATTTTATAGGTATATAAATTAAAATATAAATCATTTTTTTCTTTTAAGCTAAAGATATTTTAATATATAATCTTTCATTAACTCAACATTTTATTTCTTTATTATTTCATAGAATTTGATGTAAATATTAATTAATTTTTTTTTATTAAACATTTTTAAAGGTGGTTTTTATTAATATTAAGTATTGTTTATGAATTTTTAAATGTGGTTTTTTAAAATATTAATATCAGATAGCTGCAGAGGTAATTTGCATGGCCCAAATTTTTAAAATAGAAAAATTTCGTCCAGGCTCTTATTTTCAAAAAAAAAATTAGGCCTGGCAAGAATTTTTTTAAAAATATTTAGACATAGTCCATGCTTTATATACTCAGGGCTGGCCCATCCCGGACTTTTTTAATGTTATTTTAGGTCTAATCACCATCTTTCAATCGTTTGAGTTGTTATTGAAATTTCTATCTTCAATCAACAAAGATTTTACATTATAATATATATATATACATTTTGTTGAACATATTTTGATTTGATAAAAATTTTAAATCTTCTTTGTAAATAAATCATTTTTGAGGAATTCTTTCGAGAATTTTATTATAAATAAACAATCTTTTAGCTAAATCTTTTATAGTTATTTTTATCATTGTAAAATTATCTATTTTTTTTTAGTATATTAAAAGACGTCGTTTTTCTAAATAATTTTTTTAAAAATATTTATATCTTTTTATGTTATTTTATATGATCTTTTTAACGAAAATATTTTAATGTGACAGACAATTGTCATATTCATTATTTTTTAATATTTTTGACATAAAAGGGTAAAATAATATTTATATTGTAAAGATGTTAAATTATAAGTTCAAATGAAGATGTTTCTTGGAAAAATGGCAATTATCATAATAGATATTTTTAAACATATTTTTGACGCTAATGGACAATATGTATTTTTAACATGCTAAATTAAAATGTGACAATTGTCATAATCGTTGTTTTTAAAGTTTTTTTGATGTAAATGGGCTAACATAATCGTTGTTTTTAAAGTTTTTTTGATGTAAATTGGCTAAAATAAGTAATGCTAAAATGTTTAAATAAAACTTGAGTGATGATGCTTCCTAGATAAGGACAATTGTCATAATCGTTTATTTTATAGTTTATAGAATTTTTTTGACGCAAATGATAAATATAGGTTGTAAACATGTTAAATAAAAATTCAGTGAAGATCTATAGATGACAATTTTCATGAAATTTTAATTTAACCCTTCACTACAAAGGTGGAAAAAAATCCCTTAACTACAAAGGTGGGGTCTATTTTACCCCAAATTTTGATATATCTCAGAACATATTAAAATTTGAGATCTAAAATTTTGAATATATATTAAAAAATTATTGGAAATAATAAATACAAAATCTTAGAATAATAGTTACTTCTAAAATAAAGTTATGCAAATTTTTCTAAAGTTGATGAAATAAAAAATTTTTTCTGAGACTTTCATTTAATTATAGTTTTATCACCAAAAAAATGCAAATTTTATTATATATTTTATTAAATCAATGTTGAATAAAAATAATTACATAAATATTTTGAAAAAATATCAAATATTAAAAAAAATATTAATCATCAAATATCATGTAAATTTTTGTAATAACATTCACGAAAAAATGTATGCATATGATCTTTACAAATGAATTTTGAACAATTAAAAAAAATAAATGTTGTTTTATGTCTTCCACTCTTGAACAATCATAAGATCTTCCCTTTTTATTTGATGGAATATGTTTTTCATCAGTTATATTTTGAACATCCCCAATTACATAATAATCTACATATACTACGGTTTTCAGATCTGCTGTTCATATATGAAGATATGAGTTCCATTGCTATTATAAATTTTTATATTCGATAAATTATTAGCTTTATAAACTATCAGTGCATTTATTATTGATATATTTACTATAGTATAAAAAATGGTCAATGGCCGCCATCTTTTGGATTTTCGAGATATATAATATAAATATTAAACTACTATAAGTAAAACCAGGTCAAATTATCTTCAGGATTTTTAATTACCAAGATTATTAAAGCCGTGGGGTATTATTTATCCCACCTTTGTAGTGAAGGGTTTAATGTTTACAATATATATTTTAACCCATTCGTCAAAAAAATTCACAAAAACTTTAAAAATGACAAATATGACAATTGTCACTTTTGTATGGTACATCTTCATAAAATTTTAAATTAATATGTTTACAATATATATTTTTACCCATTTGCGTTAAAAAAATTTAAAAAACTTTAAAAATACGATTATTATAATTGTCACTTATCAATAGTACATCTTCATGAAATTTTTTAACATGTTTAGAATATATATTTTTACCCATTTGCGTTAAAAAAATTCAAAAAACCTTAAAAATAACGATTATGACAATTGTCACTTATCAATAGTAGATCTTTATGAAATTTTAATTTAGCATGTATACAACATATATTTTTACCCATTTGCATTAAAAAATTCAAAAAACTTTAAAAATAACGATTGACAATTGTCACTTGTCTATAGTATATCTTCAATGAAATTTTAATTTACCATGTTTACAACCTATATTTATAACGATTTGCGTCAAAAAAATTTAATAAACTTCAAGCATAACGATTATGAAAATTGTCACTTATCTATAGTACGTACATCTTAATTGAAATTTTAATTTAACATGTTAAAAATACATCATTTTTGTTCATTTGCGTTAAAAAAATCTAATATATTTAAAAATATCGATTATGATAATTGCCAATTTTCTATGGAACATCTTCATTAAATTTATAATTTAACATCTTTCAAAATATAAATATTATTTTACCCTTTTGTGTCAAAAAGTTTCAAAAGTGTCTAAAAATAAGGAATATGACAATTGTCACGTTAAAATATTTTCCTTAAAAAAATCATATAAAATAAGATAAAAAAGTTATTTAGAAAAAACCAATTCTATTAATAAACAAAAAAATATATAATTTTACAAAGATGATAAAAATAAAATATAAAAGTTTTCGTCTAAAAGATTGTTTATTTATAATAAAATTCTCAAAAAATTTCCTAAAATACAAAGAACAAATGTTCAAAAATCTTTTAATTTTTTTGCTTATAATTTTGGGCATGAAAATCACTAATAAATTGTAACAAAAATAATATTACAATAGCAGCATATCATTTTTTTTTATTAAAAAAAATATCAAATATATAATCTATTTTCATAATAATATAATATAAATTATTATGTTTAAAAAAAAAATTTTAAAACAAAAAAATTTTTTTTTATATTCTTTAAAAATATTTAAATAAATAAATTTTGGTAAAATTAGACTCGAGCCAACTCCTGAGCCGACTTGAGCCAATGAGCCTAAGTCAATATTTCGGCTCCGACCTTCAGCTTTTTAACAACACTAGTTCTATATGCTATTTTAATTATATTGAAATAAACTCCTATAAAAATTATTATAATTAATTAGTTAAATTTAAAGATTGCCCTTATAAATAATATTGAAACTTAATATTTTGATACTAAGAAAATAATTCCTCCTATTTATATATTGCAGGGACCTGCAAAGATACCATTTGCATAGCCCAGATTTTTTAGCCTCCTGGCTTGCCCAGGATTCTTTCTAAAAAATTATATTTATAGCTAATAATAGAGATTTAACATATATGGCCCAGCCCAGGTATTTTTTTTAAAAAAATTTCAGGACTGACATGGGAATTTAAAGAAAAATTTCAGGCTCAGTTAAGATATATTTATGCAGATCTCTAATATATTATTTTATTTCTAGTTTATATAAAAATTTTACTTTTAATTCTAGATTTATATAAAAATAACATATTAATTAAATTAATCAGGCATTGTTAGCATTAAAATTAGTATAAATGGATATTGATAATTATATATGATAAAGGGTTTTGTCAATCTAATATAACTTTAACAATAATTTACTGAAAAATGATTACTATTAAAAATTAAAAAAAAATTTTTACATGTTACTTTTCCTAACAATGTTAATATTTTTAGAGTAATGAAAATGTAACGTTCCTTTTTGAGTTAGGTTTACAGCTATAATTAATAAAAGTTATTTTTTAATCCCACAACCCTAAGCTATTTGGAAACATAAATTGGATTAATTATGTTGATTTGGTAAATAAATATAAAAACCTTCCTGTTTGCGTTTATTTGTGGCGTTATTTGGTTGCTCTTTTGCTAATTTAGTGTTTAATTTTTGTGGTGTCAGTGTTGTACCTTTTTTATTGTCTTTAATTGGTTGAACTTTCACAACTTCTTCATCATCATCAATTTCATCAACATCTTCTAAAAGTTAAATATTATACTAATTAATTAAATGGTGTTGATCATCAAATATAGAAAATCACAAATTTTAAAGGTGAATAATATTAAATTATTAAACATAATGTTGATTATAATAATATAGAAAATATTCTTATTCTCATAATAATATAATATTTATTTATATACCATCAGAATTTTCTAAATCAATATCACTTTCTTCATCTTCATTTTCAAAATCATCTTCATCATCATCTAAGTCAAAATCATCTTCACCTAATAATAAACAAAAATTAAGTGTTCATATATAAAAGCAACTTATAATAACATCATTATTAAAGTATCATTTGAAACATGGAGAAAATGGTTTGAATATTTTGTTAAATGTTATTTCTTGGTTTATGAAGAAAAAATATCGATATTGCAGTAAAAAATTGTATAAGATTATTTATTAACTGATAAATAAATTATGTTCAAATAAAAAACTTTAAATAGTGATCATTTTAATAAGGTTATTATTGTGTCATTCCACATGAAATGAGAATAGTTTTGTGCAACATCTTTGAAAACAAATAAAATAATCACAATTGGGGGTTAATTGTAAATATTACAATTTATATATATATATAATAGAATAAACGAGATCGCAATTATCTTAGATTTTGAGGCAAAACTCTAAATCTATTTGACCACAATTTAGAGCCTTCAGAAAAATTCTAATAACAAATATTTCACATTTAGAAAGTAGGAATCATAAAATGGAATGATACTAGATCAATGATAATCATTAGTAATTTTCAAGACATGTCAGATATTGTTCCAAATCAGAGAATAGATAGATCTGGTAATTTGTCATCCAAGTCTTCAAGATATGTTCAGCGTTGACTATTTCATACATCTAAAGAGCATTTATAATAGCATAAACCACAGATCTAAGTAGTCGACATGAATAATTTATTTCATTATTGAGGCTATCATTATAAATTCATAAGCTATTTACAATTTATTTTATCCTACTTTTAGAGAAACTTTTCTTAAATTTTGACTGGCAAAAATATTTTTTATTTTTAGATAAAATGAAGCTTGCATCGCTTTGAAATCCTAATAAAATAGAAATGATGATTATTCCTTTCACATCATTGAACTATTTGACAATTATGTTTATTTCTTCTAATCAAAACCATTCCTCTATTGTTCAACTAGTAAAAAAAGAAACATTCATTTTATCTTTTTTTTACCCAAGTCTGGTCTAAATTATTTATTAATGTTTATGCACAAATCCAACCTGTTTTTTTATTTGTTCAAGTCTAATCCAAATTATTTTAGTCTCGAGTAGCCCAAAAATAACTAAAAAATATAAATTAAATTAAGTAAAATTACTAATTGCTTTGCTTTTATTAAAAATAAATAATCTTTTTATTTTGATAAAGAATATTATTTTTTAGAATATTTTTCAAACTCAATCCAATTTTTATAAAAAAATTATGTTACAGTGCAACTTCTAGCCAATCTTATGGAAACTATATTGTTGTTTACATGACAAGTTGACCAATTTTTATAAAAAAAATTACGTTACAAGTGCAACTTCTAGTCAATATGATGGACTATTATTTTCTTGCTAATTTTTTTTTAAATATAAAACGAAGTTAAAGCAAAAAGAACTAAAATAAAAATATAATATTTTCAAATACTGAGAAAAAAATGAAATTAAAAAATTTTATAACCCAATTTTAAATCCAAAATATTTGACAAAATGTCAGAAATATATTAGATAAAATATTATGTAAATACTGTTGTCGTTGTTAGAATCTTTGTCTACTATCTTTGGCAGTTGTCCTCTTTTACTTAAATTCTTTGATATCGTTTTATTTATTTTAATATCCTTTTCATCATCACTAGCTAAATCATTTAAATCAAGATCATCACTAGCTTTATTTATAAAAAATAAAAATTATTTTTAAATGCATTAAGTGTAGTTTTTGTTGCTTAACAACTTTGATCAAATTATGGACCTATTTCTAAAATAAAATTTCAGATCAGATCTTTGAAAAAAATAGTCAGATAGGTTTGGTTTGAATCAGGTGGGACCCCCAAAATAAATACTAAGCAAAGCTTTATTTATGTTAGTTATTTTATCATTACGATATATTTAATTATTTAATTATAATCCTCTGTAAAATTTTATTTATATTATTAAATTTATTATCATTATAGCACTAATTCAAATTAATATTCCAAGCCATTCTAGAATTGCCAACTTAATGCATTAAGATACTTATATAAATTAGAGCATTGCTCCAGACCTAATTTTTTTTTAAAAAGATCTATTTCTAATATGATCTAAAAAAATTTTAATAGGTAGTAGTCCGATTTAATTTTTATTGTAATTAAACATATGTGGAAAAATTGTAGGCACCTCAAGAAATTAAAAATGTGTTATTCTTGAAAAGAATATCTTGAAAAACATTAAAAAATCAAAATAATTAAAAATTTTGTTGAGATTTGTAAGACAAAAAATTTAAAAAGCATGAATCAAAAAATTACTATTCAAATTTGATCATGCTTTATAAAAATTTTATTATGTGCCAAACACTAAATTTTCGTTTTCCTGAAATAATAGGCTTATGAGTGCAAAAATCAGGGCTTCAAACCAATAAGTATAGTGGTTCAGTTCGTTTTTTAGTTTAAAATTTATTAAAGGTTTTGCTCCATTTCAATTTTTTTGAAGATATATTGTATAGATTCAGTCTGGAATTTATAACGGTTCTTTTCAGTTTATTGTGGTTTATATAAATTTGATTTTTTAAAGAAATTAATAAAATATATATATATTAATCTTAAAGAAAAATCTTTATAATTATATTTTATAATTCCTTATTTAATTTAACTATGATAATATCCTAAATTAGATAAATTCCTTTTTGATTCCATAAATGGATAAATAAGAACATGTATAAATAAATGAGGAATAAAAAACCCATAAATATATTACAATTGTATAAAAATAAACTTGTTAAAAAGGCTCAAATTTAAAAAATAAAATATATAATCATGATAACTCTTCATGAGGATTCAGAAAAAGTAAATATTAATATTTTTTTAAATTTAAAATATTGAAAAATATTTATTTTTTTGACTCTAAAAATCCTTATAAAATTGCTCAATTAAAATATAATATAGAATCATGTATAACTCTTCAAGAGGATTTAGAAATGTTAAATATTAATATTTTTTAAAAAAATTTAAATAATTGGAAATTTTTTTTGATTAAAATAAGAATTTAAAAAATAAATTATAGAATAATGTAATATTCATATTTTTTATATTATTTTAAATTGTCAAAAAAATAAATTTTTGACTAAAATATTAATCACCCCCCCCCCCACCCTTATATTAAAAAGCTTCAAATTTAAAAAATAAAATTTAAAATCATGTTAACTCTCTTCAAGAGGATTTAGAAAATGTCATATTTTTAAAAACAATTTCAAATATCAAAAAAATAACAATTTTAAATTATGATATATATTTTAATTTATTAAGCTAAAAATATTTAAAATAAATTTATGTGGTGTTGAGAAAATATTGCTAATAAAGATCTGAAAATTTTTGAGCCATTATTTAAAAATAAATATTTTATTTATTTCCGATATGTGTTACAACAATATTTAAAAATTAATAATATAACATATTTTAATTTTCATAATCTAATAATCTCTCTTCGTTCATTAGTTCTTCAACCCTAGGAAGGGTGGTGAATTATGAGGTTCAGGGAGAGGGTATACAGCCATGGAAGGCTGGCATAGGTGTGAGAAATGGGGTAACAGGCATAGGAGATGGGGTAACAGGTGTGTTATAGGTGCAGCCAGAAGCATGTCCTGCCTATTACATGATCTACTGTAATAAAATTAATTAAAATTTAATGATTTTACTCTCTTTTTCCTATCTTTATATATTATTTTTTTACTATTTTTAAAATAAAAAAACATTTTCTAAATCATATTAAAGAGCTGAACAAGAATATATAAAATTTTTATGTTTGTTTAATAAGAGTTTATTACAAAGTCATATTTTAGACACACCCATAAATTTCTTATAATAAAAAGGAATATATTACAATTACTTCCCATTCTTTATATATATATACCAGACCTATAGACCCAGCCCTAGGTTAAACCTATGTACAGGCATGACATATTTTAATTTTTTTAAATATACCAAGACCAGGCTCAAATTTTTTTAAATACCAAAGCTAAACTGTATATTTTAAAACCAAATATTTTAATTAGTTATTAGCTATAAAAATTAATAGAATATATTTCAAAAAAAATCTGTGCCAAGCTCAAAGATATAAAACCCAGGCCAGACCAAAAAAAATTTTTAAAAAAATCTAGACTGTTTTGATGAGATTTTTGTAAGTCTCTATATATACTAGAAATTAAGTAAATTTATAAACTAAATTTATTATTTGTAATTAAGTAAATAATTACTAATTAAAGTGAAGAGGAAGCTTTCCTTCTATACAATTTATACTTATATAAAGTTGAAAATTTTATTTGATGTCTATTATGACATGTTGGACATTGATTATCAGATAGTGTTGTTTAAAGGCTCAAATTTTGATATGGCCAAATTAGGATTTTAGCCAAAATAATTTCATGTATTTACAATAAAATAGTATAATTATTTAATTTAAATGTTTTACAATCCAATATAAATTTATGCATACCCATTTCTTCAGCTTCACTGTCAATTAATGAATCAATATCTGACTCTTCATCTTGCTATAATATTTTAAATACATATTAGATGTAAAAGATTTATACCTGGGCCCTTTTATTATACTTTTTTGGAGTGTTTTCACTTTGTTTATTTCCATTTTGAAATGATTTCTTTTGAAATGAAACATTTTTTTGAAATGAATTATTCTTTTGGAACTTATTATTAGGACTATTATTTTGTTCCTTTACAAAATTTTGAGATTTCTTTTGAGGTAAAGTATTAGGAGTTTTTGATTTCATGTTTCTAGCTTTAGGTGTTTGTTTGAATCCCCGCTTTTCAAAATTTTGATTAGATTTATTTAATGACTTTGGAGTTTTCTGAATAATAACAATTTAATTAATAAAATAAGATTTTTTACCATGTTGGAATATTAAGGAAGTTTTATACTTTCTAAGAAGATCCACGACAAAATAACGAATTTGAAAAACAAAATGGACATGAAATGAGCGTATAAAAAAAATAGTATAAATTCTTTTTATTTTAAAATTAAAGAAATTCATTTTAAATTATCTTCATCTATTTGTAAAATTAATTTTTTATTATAAATGCTGTATTGTAATTAAGGAATTTATTTTATAAATTTGTTGGGATAAATTTATATACATTATTTACAATTTCTTGGATGTATGATGCAAATTATAATATTTTCATTAATAAATATATATAATATATAGACAAAACATATTAGTAAAGATAGCAATTTCTTGTTTCTTAAACTTTTTAATTGAATTTAATTTTTTTTACATCCATTTTACAAATATTTACAAAAATATTATATTGTAGTTAATAAATTAGGTCAATTGCAGTTTATGTTCAGCAAACACAAATAATTATAAAAGCTAATGTGGCAACCCTGTATGGGAATAATTTATTTAGAAGGTTATGTTTAACTCCTATCATGATGAACAAGAGTTGCTCATTTCCAAGGAGTTAATATTTGGATTACACATCTTGTTGTAATAGTGATAATTCTACTATCACACTAATGCTTACAGCAAGTAAAGCAGGGACAATATCAATTGCCATTTTATTGCACAATAGATATTCCATATAGAGTTATAAGAATATGTTTTCTCTGTTCAGAGAGCACTGCCCACAGAAATTTGGTGGAAATAATGATTTTTTAAAATCTTTCTTAATTATTTAATTATCATTTAGTACCCTTTGCTTTTATGGCAGATGATTCAGCCGCAGAAAAGAATGCCTTGAAGATTTGGCCATCTACTCAATTATTTTGCCAATTTCATGAAGCACAAGCACATTGGAGACATATATTAAAAAGTCAGGAAAATGGTAGATCAAATAGCAAGGATATTGTAAAAAATTTTCAAGATGTAAATAAAAATTTTATTTTTATAAATTATATAAATTTTAGGTCCTTTATGCATATAATGGAAAAATATTACAAAAGGCCCATGAAAAAATAAACATTCTAAATTTACCATCATATTATAATTATTAGAATTTGTTTGAAAGAAATCTAGAATGGGGTATTATATATAGGAGTAATATTATAACAAGAAATAATAATACCAATAATAATGCTGAAGCAACCATACGAATATTAAAGGATGTCATATTATCCAGATCAGCAAAAAACACTTTTACACTTATTTATTTTCTTGTTTATTATTATGAAGTTATCTTATAAAATTTTTGATTTTTCAAACAGCCGAAGATCCCAAAATTCTATTTTAAGGGACATTTTATTTAACCTAATCTAGCAGATATGATACAGTAGCATTAGCATCACTGAGGGGGGGAGGGAAGCTTAGAGGCTCGAGCCCTATGAAAAATTTAAATTGCCACCTGATTCAAAGAAAATATTTTTTCAATGGCTCTTCAATATCCCCCTGAACTAAAAATTAATTTTTTTGCTAACCCCCTGAACTATTTCTTATATAAATCTATTAAGTATTATATATATAGATTTAATTTTATTATTTAAAAATTAATAAAACTATCTAAATTTTTATCAAATTAGTGCTATTTTATTATTAGATTAGATTAATAATACATATATATTATATTTTCACTATCTCAGCTTGCAATCAAATTCTGTATTAAAAATGGAATATCAATATCACTCATAATGTCTAAATATTAATGTAGCATTAACAGTTAAAGCTTAATTGATTTTTATCATTTAAATTATTTTATAACCCTAATTGTATTTTAAAATTAACAAATTTAATATTGAAATTAGTATTGTTAAACGGCTCGTTTGAAATTTGAAAACGGCTAGTTAACCAGAAAAATATTTTCTAAGCCTCGAGATTTCGATAATATATGTCTAGACCTTTGTTCCTTTTACAAAAAAAATCTTAAGGCTTGCGAAATATTTTTCTGAGTTAGATGGTTTTAAAAATCGGCTCAAAACGAGTCGTTTAACAACACTGATTGTATTAGCCGAGTTCAAAATCACTAATCAACTGTATTATTCATTTTTTAGTATAATTAAATGCCTCTCCCTAATATATTTTCAAGGAATAACAAAGTTTACGAAATTTCTTTATAAAAGTAAGAAGACATAAGTTGATAATCATCTATTATATAGGATTAGTTACTAATCATTAGGTAAAATCCCACTTTTACAGACATATTTGACAGTTATAGAATATATTACAGTTAATGGTTACAGATTAAATCATGGGGAAATTTTCATATATTATTTTTTTTTTATTTTTTTTAGATTGTCTGGATTTTGGTAGAAATTTTTGAATGTTACCTTTTTCTTTCAATTGGCGTATTTTTAGATTTTTTTTTTGATAAATAAATATCATGTGGATTTTGAAGGAAATTTTTTGATACAATATCAAAGTTTTTTAAATTTAACATTGTATATATGTTATGTTTATTCAAATAAATTGATTAATTATTTAGTATACCTATTTTTATTAAATTCTTAAATATACCCTGTTTTTCTAAATTCTTAAATATACTTTTTTTTCTAAATTCTTAAATATACTCTTTTTTTCTAAATTCTTAAATATACTCTTTTTTTTCTAAATTCTTAAATATACTCTTTTTTTCTAAATTCTTAAATATACTCTTTTTTTCTAAATTCTTAAATATACTCTTTTTTTCTAAATTCTTAAATATACTTTTTTTTTCTAAATTCTTAAATATACTCTTTTTTTCTAAATATTTAAATATACTTAAGATTTTTTTTAAATTTAAAAAAAATAATAAATAAAAAAATATATTTAAAAAAAAATAAATAAAAAAAAAATAATATATGAAAATTTCCCCATGATTTAATCTGTTACCCAGTTAATATTTAATAAACTTTACTAATCAATACTTTTGTTAATAAATATAAATAACAATTTCAATTCTTTAATGCCATCTATAAACATCTTATTAATTATCCCATAATGAATGATATCTTTTTTTCCTTCTCTTTTTTCCGTGTTTTTAAGAAAGCTTTTTTTTCTTTAAAAAACAGTTTTGAGTTAAATTTTAATACAAATATATTTTTAATATTATTATAAACAAGTATTATTTTAAGACATAATATACCAACTAGAGGTGGTTCAACTTTAATATATAAATTCTTCATTGCTTTCATCATATCACTCTGGCCCATATTTTCTAGTTATTAAATAATTCATTTCTAATATGGTATCCTTATCGTATAAATAATTTAAGGGATATATTTTATTATTTCTGCTAAAGATTTTTATTACCAATATCTAACATAATAAATTCTGATATGAGTTACACCGTGAGTAACATGGCTATGACTGCAATTTAACTAGCGTAAATTATTTGTATTGCTATGGAATTTTAGATTATTACTCCTGCTGCTTAGAGCATTTGATTGCACAATTTAGATGAGTAATAATAGTCAACTTTCTAATCATTTATATATCATTAAAAATGGAGGATAATCTTTTAGAATATATGACACAATAATTTTCTCGATTAACTTATCCATCCATTACGTCATTTATTAGGTAGCTCTAGCCACCATATAGTTTTATGATTTTGATTAGTCGTTTATATTATATTTCAAGAATTATTGATTTGGTTAGGCCTACAATTTTACCTTATTAGTCCATTCTATTATACATTGTCCAAAATGGTAACACTACGTTATATTAGTTTCATGACTTTTTGTCAATGCAGGTTGCCAGGGGCGTCGCTAGCCTTTACTATCTCAGGGGGCTCAACTAAAAAAATAAATACTTGAATGCATATGGATACTGTATTTATTATCAAAACCATTTATTAGTAAAATTTATTATATATTAACTGCAATATATTATATAGTTGTCAAATACGTCTATAAAAGTGGCATTTTATCTAATATTTTATAACCAACTGTATATAATAGAGGATTATAAACTATATCTCTACTTATTTACTTTTTATAAAATAATCTCTTATACTTATTTGGATCTTGAAAATATTTTTAGGAATAGGTATGTTAATTAAATTTAAAAATAAATATACAGTTGATTAGTCATTTTGAACTCGGCTAATTACAATATTAAATTTGTTAATTTAGAAATAATATATGAGTATATTTATTTAATTAGGGTTATATAATAATTTAAATAATAAAAGTCAATTAAACTTCAACTGTTAAAGCTAAATTAATATTTAGTGAGTTATTGATATTATATTTTTAATACAGAATTTGATTGCAAGCTGACATAGTGAAAATATAATTTATCTGTATTAATCTAATCTAATAATTAAAATAGTATTCATTTAATAAAAATTTAAATAGTCTTATTAATTTCTAAATAATAAAATTATTCTATATTACTTAATGGAATTATAAAAGAAATCATTCAGGGAGCTATCAAAAAAATTCATTTTTAGTTCAAGGGGATATTAAGGAGCCATTAAAAAAAAAATTTTTGCTTCAGGGGGCTTTTCAAATTTTTCAGAGGGCTCGAGCCCCTGCGCCCCCTAGCGACGCCACTGCATGTTGCTAAGAATTATATTGTCTTGTGTAGTTTTTAAAAACACTATCAATTTGTATGAATTATTTAATCATTTTTTTAACTTGTAATTCTTGATACGTAAAATTTTTTTATATCCATATTTGAAAATATTTAATTTTTTTTATAAATTGAAAAATATTTTGTATTAAAAAAATATTATCTTTAGAAATGTCTTTTATTGTTTTATTTTCATTGCTAGTAGAAACCTGTCAAAAATGACGGGGTATGAGTTTTTTATTCATTTTTTACGATAGATGTCATGCCAGGTTCAAGCTCACAATATTAGGAAGCATCCAAGATCTTATAATTTTAAAAAAGTTTATCAAGCCCAGCTCAACCCTTAATAATTTGTAAAAGATATTCCCAAGTCAGGTGCAAGCTAATATTAATTTTGAGGTTCCAGGCCCAGTCCTACCCATTATAATTTTGAAAATTTTTTCCCGCCTCGGAGATA